TTGTCAGACCTATCAAGCTTGAGTTCGAGAAAGTGTATTACCCATATCTTCTCATCAGTAAGAAGCGGTACGCTGGACTCTACTGGACAAAGCCGGACAAGTGGGACAAGATGGACTCAAAGGGGATCGAAGTTTGTTTTGTCTTTAGTAGTTTATCGTGGATATACTGAATTATGGAATCTAGACGGTCCGGAGAGACAACTGTCGACTAGTATCGACGGTCATTGAAACTTGCCTACATAAGATGTTGATCGATCGCGACGTCAGAGGAGCTGAGGAGTGAGTATACACTCTTTATCTTTTGGTTGCTAGCTCAACTGTACCAGGTATACAAAGCGCATCATATCAGATCTTCTGCAGAACAAGGTCGATATGTCTCAACTGGTGATTACAAAGGCTCTAGCTAAAGCAGGTATGTGAGTTTTGAATGAGAACTGGCTGGTTCTCTAATGTCTGCAGACTATGCTGCGAAGCAAGCCCATGTAGAGTTGGCAGAGCGCATGCGGCAACGTGACGCAGGTTTGTGACTGAAGCAGTCGTCCGATATAAGTCCTGATATCCATGGTCAGGTTCTGCACCTGCCTTGGGTGACCGTGTCGCCTACGTTATTGTGAAGGGCATTAAAGGTCGAATTTTATGTCAAACAAAATCATCCTATGCTAACTTGGGAGTAGGTGCTGCTGCGTACGAAAAATCCGAGGATCCCCTTTATGTATTGGAGAACAACATTCCTATCGATACTAAGTACTACCTCGAAAACCAGCTCTCAAATCCTCTTATGAGAATTTTTGAGCCCATCCTGGGTGAGAAAGCAGCATCGTTGTGTAAGTCGCTTCATTGGCTGCTCAAAGGTGGTCTTTTGATATGTTCCACAGTATCTGGCGCGCATACCAGGACAATCCAGATCGCAACTCCGACAGTTGGCGGTCTGATGAAGTTCGCAGTGAAGACTGTAACATGTCTTGGGTGCAAAACTCCACTGCGGTCAAATAACAGCGTAAAAAGTGAGCCGAAACAAGCAATTTTCTGATCCTATATCTCACTACTCGCCTTTGCTACAGATGGTGCCGTGTGCAATAACTGTCGACCAAAAATCGGGGAGTTATATCAAAAGCAAATCACAAGCGCGTCGCAGCTGCAAGTACGGTTCTCGCGATTGTGGACGCAATGCCAACGTTGTCAGGGTTCTTTGCATCAAGTGAGGTTATGTCTATTTTTGCTTTGACTGTCACTGACGCTGCGGTTGATAGGATGTGCTATGTTCGAGCAAGGATTGTCCAATATTCTACATGCGAAAGAAGGCGCAAAAGGACGTAGAAGATGCGAACTCTGTCCTCGAGCGGTTCGATGCAGATCTGTGGTAGTCGATATCAATGTATCATTATTTCTCTTTCGCTTGGTTTCTCTGCACTCTTGTATCATAAATCGTCATATGAATGTTTTCTTCCAGTGTGGTGTAACCTGATATCTACAGCGGTTGCAGGCACTGGGTTAAACGTCTGATCCTTGGCCACTGGGAGCTTGAGGCAGACAATTTGCTTTTACCAAGACCAATCCATTCCATGCATAGTATGCACCAGCCTTGGCGGCGCCCTTTGGATTGTATACGCACTAATAGTTAGAGGGTCGTGGTGCTCGACCGTTCCTCATATGAGTCGACTGCCATATCCTACTCCTACTTGTTCTACCCCCGATCCTCCGGGCATCTCTCATTTGGTGGAAGCAGAAATCCGTGCCCTGTCACTTGCCACAACATCATCTGCATCCAAACATCCAACTGTTTCCGCAAAGGATGCATCAGATCACAGTCACCTTGTGCGATGTACAATGTGCATCACCCGTTGGTGAATCCCCGGACAACCTGTTGAGATTCTGGCCCGTGTCTGCCAACTGCATTAAAATGTCTTGCAAGGCCTTAAAACACTGGGAACTTTTTTCCGACAAACTAGCTCTAACTGGGGCGTTTCCCTTGTTAATGCAGATCGATGTGAGTGACCAGTGACTCCGTGACAGGACGCGTTGCGTGTGTATCACGTGCTCTAAGAATCACACTACAGTGACTACACCGTTGTTGAACAGTAAACACTACCATTGAATCGACGGTAACAGCAAGCTAATTTTGTGACAGCATCAAGGACGGTCGACACAAAATCAAACGAAAAATGAATACGCGACGCGCCAGGATTGCTGATGCAGATAATCATGACTCGGACTCAGCCGGTGACACTGAACCAGATACACCAAGACCGACGCTTCGACAAGGCAGCAAGAAACGGATCAGTGACATCTATGGTGGCGACAATGAATCACACTCTGACTCTGGACGCCTTCCACTACGGGCGGTCAACATTAATGACGATGCAGCTGAGAAGCGCAGGCGGAGGAAGAGCAATAAGCTAGCCGTCATGGAAAACGCGGAAGCTGGGCCTTCGACAGAGCGTCAAGATCAAACAGAATCTTCCAAAGCTGCACAGGCGAAGCTGAAGCAACAGCAGCTCAACTCTGTGGCCCCTCCTCCTGTCATCAACGTACCCCTAGACGTCATGAGCTCCAACTTTGAGGAATGGATGAAGATGGCGACAGACAACGTGCGTGTATTAACGTGTAAATAGATTCTGCTGCTTATCATTGTAATCTCCAGAAAATTAATGCTGCGAACTCGTGGAGCTTCGCGCTAATCGATTACTTCCATGATATGTCGCTACTCCGAAACAACATCGACAACTCCATCAACTTCCAGCGCGCTTCATGTACCCTCGATGGCTGCGTTAAAATCTGGACGAGCCGAGTCGACTCAGTTGGCACAGAAACAGGCAAACTGCTGAGCAACCTTGCCAACGAGGGCATGGTCGGTGCAGAAGACGATGAAGCGCTGTCGGACAATCCTGATAGTCAAGACGCGACACAGGCGAAGAAAAAGAAAAAATCGCACCGACCCGACTCGACCCTTGCTAAAGATGCCTCGCAACTGCACAGCAAGAAGCTGGAACTCGACCTCGGCATTGACCCCCTTTTCCGCAAAACTTGCGAAGATTTCGATGAGGGGGGCGCACAGGGCCTGTTAATGAACCACCTTAGTTTAGGGGTTGGAAGTGATGGTGGCATGCGCGTCGTCTTTGACGCGAGTGATTCCATGGGCCGAGTGGCGGAAGATGAGGAGGATGAGGAGGAGCAGGAAGAACATGTGGATATCAGTTACCTCCGAAGTGTGTTTGAAAGTTCTCTTCGATAGTAAAATACTGACCATTATACTAGGCCAATTCTTTCCTGACTTAGATGTTCTTGACGATAAGGCGATCTCCCATTCATTGGCCGACTTCTCATTCGCCAAGGACAGTAATCGCACGTTTGATGAGTCTCTTTATCGTGATGATACAGTCAATAATGAACCTGACGATGAAAACGACAATGATCCGGGCTTCGGAGACTACGGCGCCAGTGATGCGCCCATGGATGTGGATGGTGATGGTGGTGGCCAGGATTTCTTCCAGGGCGATCAAGCTGTCGATGATGAGTATGATGGTGGGGATGCCTTCGGAGGGGGTGACTATGGGAGCGGCGAGAATGGGTCGGTCAGCGCTGAAGGTGATCAACGACATGCGGTACGGCCAGGAGGCGCATTTGTTCCTTTCGACCCACGACGTGCGCCCAACATGCCAGATCGTGTAATAGCCATAACGGACGCGGATGGAGAAAACGCGATGATGGGTTACTTTGATAAAAACTTCATGAAAAACTGGGCGGGTCCTGAACACTGGAAGCTGAGGAAAGTGGTTCGGAAACGTGAGTCCTTCAGCTAACTCAGATGTGCGATATTAATGGCGTTGCGTTACAGCAGAGGCCGATGCTCCCAAACCACGGCGAGAGAAGAAGGAAGCATTCAAGATCGATTTCCTGACGCCTGCTGAGAAAGACGTCAAGACGATAGCAAAGGAAATGTTTGCGAAAGTCACGCGGGGGGCTGGTATCACTTTACCGAGCTACAGTGGTTCAAAAACTGGCAAGAAGGGTCGGGGCGGCCGCAAAGCGAAGGAGGAGAAGCGTGATGAACATATTCTTCCTGACGACATGCACTTCTCAAGCAGGCAACTTGTCACCCTTTTCCTAAAGCCCAAATTCTCAGTACGTGCGATCGTTGACATGAGGGCATGAGCTGACATCTGTACATCCTCAGTTGAAGATGCGTGGACAACCTGTCAGGTTTAATGAGAACGGCGATGGAGAGGTCGACGAGCAATTTTGGGCACAGGCTGCGGCGAACCAAGCTGCAGAACGTGCTGCGGCTCAAAATGATGAAAGTAAGAATATTGTATATTCGCGCTTTATGTTTCAAACTCATTGCTCCGCAAGACGGCGATGGACTCAATATACCCTTCAATACCCAGTTCTTTGACAATGACTATGATGACGGCCCCGGCTTTGATGATGGTTTTGATGGCGACGGTGCTGCGCTGCAGGATGCTGGAGAGCAGGACCTCTTGGCTGCCACGCAAGGTCAGACGCGGCGGGTTCGACCAGAATTTGTCAATTATGCCAAGCGTGCCAAACGGGTAGATGTGAGGAAGCTGAAAGAAAACATTTGGAAAGGCTTGGACATTAAGGTTGGGAAGCCGAAGGAGGGCGAAGAAGACGACAATATGGTTTGTTTCTTTTGAGTCACCCCTCCTTTTCTGCTCACCAGCTTATAGGACGTTGATGACACGCCTCTTACTAACCCCGAAGAACATAGAGTTTTCAGCTCAGTTATTTCCGGATTACAGAAATCATATCCGAAGGACAAGATGGAAGAGATCAGCACAAGCTTCTGTTTCATATGTTTACTGCACCTCGCTAATGAGCAGGGGTTGAAGCTACAGACTTCTCCAGGCGGGGAAGAGAATGAAGCCATGGACTCTGAAGACAGAGACAAAGTGGGGGATATATGGACTTTAAAAGTGCGCCCACTGCTATTTTCATTGATCGTCACTGACCCCTTGCACCCATAGGTATTTAGAGACCCGGATGCTATCACAGCTTAGCTGCAGACCGATGTAGTTCTTGGCCTGCTGTGGACTTACCAATATTTTTATTCCCATATGCTACTAGGCCATTTCTGTGTTCTTGCTTTATTCCGCTGATTTGATCATATGATAATCTGTTGTATACCGGCGGCCGAATGGACGAGATGAATAAAAATTCTACCAAGCTACAATTTCGAATTCAGATACTAAGGCTACAGTTTAACGGTGTCGTGAGGTGGTATCTATACAATCTGGGGTGGGGGGACGATAGTGTTAAAAATACAAGCAATTTCTCAATCCACAGCCTGCAAAATAAATCGACGTTTTTCGTAGAACGGACTATATTCAGCGTAACTTGGCTTTCCAAGCACGCCACAAATTCTCCTGTTTCTTCTGATTCTTGGCCTTCAGCTGCAGGAACTCCTGATATTCCTGTGCAGGTAATTCAATCATATCCGTAGTGGTGGTGCGAAACGGGAAGACGCTAAGAAGGTCTGAGGGAGTGATGCGCGCCTGAGGGACAGATGAAGCCAGGAACAAGTGATCGCCAAAGGGCGTATAAGTGTACACATCTAGCCATTGATCACGACGGCGGTGAGAGTGGCCCGATGCAGCTGTACAGGTAATTTCTAGTAAGAAACCTGTTCTTGAACAATTTTGGTGACTGGATACGTACCTTGTACCAGTTGTATGAGCGTAACTTGGTGTTGTACAACAGCGATAGCGACTGTTCCACGATTCATGATGGGCAGTGGTGATGTGGAGATTGCTACAATGGCAAATAATACAGCAAGAGCCGAAAGATGAAAAGAGAGAGTGTGAGAGTGAGAGAGAGAGAGAGAGAAAGAGAAAGAGGCGGCTCTCTGGCAGTAAACAGAGCTTTGATAATTTAGTCTTGGGGACGCTTAAGATACAAACTTGAATCCCCCCCCCCAGCTATATGAGCGTTTCTGTTGATATGTACAAGGGTCTGTCAATTCAGTGACTCTTGTCATACATACAACATTCGATTCCTTGTCCAGTGAAGAATAATGAGCAACCTTGTCACCTGTGCCATCCAAAGTAGTAGTACAAGACGTGGGGAAATAAGCTAACGACCAAAAGGGTTTGCTCATCAAGTACAACGACATGGAAGAACGACGCTTCTCGGAAGTTACTCGGAAGTCAAAAATCAGGCGATAAGGATATAAGTACATTTCGGGCTTCGACTTTCATTGAAAACCGTAGACCCTCTTCCAAGTTGTCAAGAGTTCAGAATTGTAGATTGATAATTGTGGTATGATGAATAGCTACGAAAACAAGAAGACGGAAAACATAATGCACAACATGTTTAATATGAAGGAAGTAGCAACTTGCAATAGGATGAATCTGGCGTGTCTATCCGTAAAAGCTGCGAAGAGATATAGGTGCTCATGGGACTTGAAAGAGATAAGAAATAATCCGGTAGCGGGGGCCAAAGTGAGCCTGAGAAAATGATACCTTCTCCCTGAAAAAATGAAACGAGCCTCAGAGTTTATCAGACTATGCTGGATGCACCCCGCATCTGTCGTCGAAGTCGTAACTGAGGCTGCCAACTCCCTTGTGACACATGATTCAAACTGACGAGTATGAGATCTTCGAATTTTATGTGACGGGGACTAATCCTCCACATGGGATCAGAGTCAGCCTCCATGCAGTGAGTCGTCATTTTCTGGAGAAAATATCAATGAAAATAATTCGAGATAAGCGTCAAGTCTCGCCTGCATGAATTTACGTATGTAGTTGGCAAGGCTCTTTGCAAGCTTTGCTTTCGTGATGGGTCCTGGTGTCTTGCGATAGTCTCTGGTAAGAAGCTGACGATTCCAGGGAGGATAACCAGGCCACTGTTATTCAAGCTCGCAATCAGCTCACAAGATACAGATCGCAATGTTCCTGATAGACCTCTATTCTCACTGAGATAGATTGGCCGCCGCCTTCAAACATCAGGTCGTCCCTATCGCTAAGACGTCTGGAATTTTTTTTGAGGATCTCTTCCAAGGTTATACCCAGCTCATTTGGCTTCTCTGCGTAGAAGAAGATAGGAAGAGATAAATTCGCCGTGTGTACGTACTTCTCTCGTTCAGCTTCTCCTCGCGGCTGATACACTCTTTGAGGAACCAAAGTAGCGGTGTCAGTCGGAACAATGGCAAGCTGGAGATCTTGTTCCAAATCGTCGGCAGGATTCTTGAAATTCAAGTGGCTACTTGCCCCGGTATCCTTGTACAAGTTGGGTAAGAGCGTATTCAATCAGACAAGACAAAAAAAACTTACCTGGCTCTCTAATAGAGCAACCTGGCTGATCTCACTGAGATCGTTCCCAGAGTCTCCGTATACACCATCTGCGGTGTCAGAAACGTACAATGACATGAGCTCCGCGTGGTTTGGCTACCAAAAAAATGGGTTTTCGCCGACTCGCCTAACGAACCATGAACTCACCATTTCCATCACCTGCACAACCGTATTGGGGTTTGCAGATGATTCTACCGGGAGCGCGTACTGCTGCACTTCACAATCACACGTCGCTAACGTGATGCGACTGTCGAAAGTGCTAACGAGAGTTGAAAAGGCATCCCAATTCAGTAAAGGCTCCGAAGTAGGCTGCGGAGGCAGCTCCAGGAATCCTGCAGCGCGAGGAGACTTCGAGGATGGTTAATTTGAAGATTTGACATTCCAAAAAAAGAGGTGACTGACATTACCAGGCAATTTACGATTTTCCGGCGGAGCTACCCAAATCGTCCCGCCGTTCAACGAACCGGGTACTTCAGAGGTAGCAAGCCTGTCGAAAAAAAAGGTATTGGCGTTGTTAAAGGACATGTGTGATGGATACTGTATGTCTGAGGATCACTCTTGCGGTCCTTTATGAACCTCGTCGGTCAAGTTTTGCGCCGACACGTGGCATCATTCAGTAATCCTTGAATATACCAAATCTAGCGCACACCGATAAATTGCATAGTCACTCTCCTCGGGGGCCATAAGCTTCAAGTTGCTGTAAATCGTTACAGCTTGCGGAAGGCCGAACATACCGGTGACCCGAAGTGACACCTTTGAGACTGAAGTCAGAAGCTGGGATAGCACAATTGTCCTTTATAGATGACTCTGGACATGAATCAGCTCAGACCGTGAACACACAAAGTGCAATTTTCTCACTTACGAGTGTAAAGTAGGGTTGTTTCACACCTTCCATTGACACAAAAGCCTCCATGGCAGGATAAAACATTTCGCTAAATCTTCCGTCTTATTCTGGCATGATATTTCTGATCGTCGGCACAGGAGATCAGGTTTCTTGCATACGTGACTTGGCAGGAAGGCGGTATCTTGTAGTTATATTGTGCCAAAGTGTTACAGATTTGGGAACAGGATCCCCAAGAGATGGTGACAAAGTTAGCGTAAAGGCTTACGGATCGAATAGGGGCCCTCTCTTTCAACCCCACAACAGATATGAAATTATGAATGATATAATTAAGCTGTCCAGCTGTGGTTAGTCTCCTAGTAAGTGAACCATTGAAATCGGATGAGTACCATCAAATATTCCTTGAATTAGTAAGCAGAGAGCAATGTTGCTCTCGATGTTGCCTCGGCGGAAGTGAATTTGTACGTGATGCTCTCGTTCGACCACGGAACGGGTCATATTCCGTTCGGGACTGGGCGGGAAAACGGCCCGGGTGAGGTGATGTCTCAAAGAAAGGTTTGAATAGCCTGTCAATGTATCAGATGACAGTAAACTTTCTGGTTTCATACCTAAATGAATGTAGCCCGTGTGGAGGGCACAGCGCGATGCAGTGAATGTATGCGTTGACCGCAAGCCTGTAATGCAGCGCCGCGAACCGCGCCATTTACACATAGTTACGAGCTTTGGGATATATACCCTGTAGAAGGTTACGATATGTCATTTGAATATCCATGACCATTGACTATCGGAATCGCAAGGGTAGCACCTGCAAGGAGGGGGAGACGACTGAGTAAGTCTAGAATCTAAAAGGATGGGGAACGTCGCTGCACAGCAAAAAGGTAAGACGTGACGATGTGTTGACAATTCAAGACCGTCTGCACACCATACACAATCTACATTTCACAGTCGCATTATTCCTGGCTTGACTTCAGACCATTTCATTTTTCTGGTTAAGATATTGTCCACTGGGGCGATCTGGCCAATTATTCAGAAGGAACATTGGTATTGTGTGCAAGGCTCGGGTACGACCTGAGTATACTGAGTGTTCTGTTCAAGCGGAGTTGAATGACAAAGCTGCCCGCTGCCTGAAGTGCCCGCTGCCCCCGCAACGGCGTCTTGGATATATGTAGTCGAAACCATGCCTGAGGTCAGTATGCTCACTACCCTGCCCCCTCCCCAGTACTCACTAGTTATTCGTGCGCATTTCTGACATTGCACTGCTGTCACCCTCTTGAATCTTTGCATTGAAATGCCGACCAACTCCGTCACGGTGGTCACTTTTAGACAATTTTATGTCAATGTTCAATATTTCAATGGTTCCAACTTGCAAGAGCATAAATCAATTGAAATGATGTTATTCGCACCACGTGAAAGCCTAGATACAATATTTTATTCAATCGAGCTCGTTGTCGTACGCGACGAGCACTAGTGCGGTGGGAGGTTCGGTCAGCCTGTGATGCCAGGATGGCACGTGACACAAAGACGAGCTTTAATGGGCAACTTCGCCATGCGAAGGGGTCGACCAAAAATGGTCTCACCTGACGCCAAAATGGTCGTGCACATGAGCGACCATTTGCGAGACCAATGTAAAAGTCACGTGATATAAAGGGAGAAGGGAAGTATGCATGGGGCTAATTCATTGTGGAAGGAGCGGGAAAAGGATAATGAGGGGAGCAAGGGGCTGGAATAACGAGGGTACTAAATGTAAATACAAATAAAAGGAGTCATTAGATTAGTAGCGAGGGGGAGTAGCTAAAGAAAAAGTCAAATGATTTAAAAACAAAAATAACTACACTAGGCCCAGTGCTCCTGGAGGTACTCGATGTGAAGGTGCTTGGCGCCATTGTGCACCGTCAACAGTGCGTCTGGTGTCGTTGTGTCGATCTCAAGCTCCTCATACAACTTGAACAGCACTGTCCCTGAATCAAGTGTAGTCAACTGGTCAAGCAGCATCGTCGCAAATGCTTCCTGCTCGAGTGCAGGACTTTCACCGGATGGTCGAAGGAATACCTGTTCATATATTTGCTTGACCGTTTCAAGGAAGGCACGCGGGTGGAAGCGCTTGCCATCTGAGAAGATGCCTGGTGGCTGTGGCCAGGGCAGAGGTGGCTCATTCTGGGACACCTGCTTGGCGCCATCTGCACAAAACCCCTGTCAATGATTGTACCCTGAGTTCTCTGACTGGGGTACATGATTGTCTTGCAGCGGGAGCATGTGTGGGCCTTGCAAATCTGAAAACAGGTCAGAAAAAATGCAACAAGGTTTTAAAAGACTTGTGCACCTTCTTCCCTGACTCGGTCTTGATGAGCTCAATGACATGACAGTGTCTTCTCCAGAATTTTTCTGAGCTGGAACAAGCTGTATAGTATAATTAGTTAGTAGTTGGTAGTTAGAAAGAGTGCCAGTGAGGTAGCGCCAAGACTCACACTTAAAGTTGTTCTTTGCGATGTGATTCATCACGACCACTTTGATGTCACCGAGCTTTCGGAGAAGGGCCTGGGGGTTCTTTCTCACTGTTTTGTGCCCATCAGTGCAGTTCTTCTCCTCTAGGCGGTTGTTGTAAGACTCTGTAGCTACAGCCCACTGTTTGGGCATCATCTTAAAAGATATCCATGCAAATTCCACCCTCATGTCTATAAATAAATGAAACTCAACACTGGAGGAGATTTCCATGGCGTGGGCATCAATGCTTGTCGCGATTGTGAAGAAGTGCTGGGAACAGGACATCCCTGGAGGCTTCAGAATGGGCGCAAGAGTAGTGGCGGTGCTGTTGATGGTGGTGGTGACAGGACCGTCGACTGCCGTGACAGGGGGAGTGGAATTGGGAGTGACCTCAGGAAGTTGATGATGTGAGGGAGCCTTGCAGTATGGCAGCCGGCTTCTTGGTTTGAGAAAGTGGTCCAGTGTGGCTGACAAAGTCATCTGCCAACAAGTTCAGTGGGGCGTGAATTGAAGAAAATAAGGGGGAAATGAAGTATAGTATAGGAGGAAGGAGGGAAATGAAGTTTTTCATATGAGGCTGTGTAAGTAAATGGGAGGAAAATGAAGTTTTTCATATGAAGCCATGTAAGAGTAGGTAAATGGGGAGGAAAATGAAGTTTTTCATATGAAGCCATGTAAGTAGGTAAATGGGAGGGAAATGAAGTTTTTCATACGAGGCCATGTGGAGAGTAAGTAAATGGGAGTAAAATGAAGTTTTTCATACGAGGCCATGTAAGTAGAAGTAAATGGGAGGAAAATGAAGTTTTTCATACGAGGCCGTGTAAGTAGAAGTAGATGAGAGGAAAATGAAGTTTTTCATACGAGGCCGTGTAGAGAGCAAGTAAATAGGGAGGGAAATGAAGCTTTTTGAAAGAGGAAGAAGTGGGCTTACCTGATTTGATGGCGATGCAGAAGCATCAGGACTGGTGGTGGTCAAATGACGCACAATTTTGTGGGGCCGCTTGCATGCTGAAACCCTTGGTTCGCCAGAATCTTCAGGCTCACTTTCAGAGATGAAAATGATGTTGTCCGCCTTGTGCTTCTTGGTTGGAACGATGGCCAAGGCCTTGCTGGCATTAGCAACCTCTGCTATGGGAATTGTAGTGGTTGTAGGAGGGCAGGGCAGTGATGGCCTGTGTATTGAGGGGCACCTGAGGCTGAGAAAGAAGCTGTGGGTCAATATTAAGTTCTTCGAGCATTTCAGACCTCGCAGACAGCAGGGCAAGGTCAACTACATCACTTTCGCCACCTAGCACCTTGAGCAACCTGGGGCCGGTGTAGCGATGGTCATGGTGTTGGGCTCGAAAACCACATATTTTCATACTCATGTCAACACCCAAAACATATGCACACATGTCCGACGCACTTTCGCACATGTCCGAGCCACTCCGTATCAGGATCTGGCTGCATCAGACCTTCGGACATCACATCGGCCAATCGCACTTTGTGCGCACTTGTCCATCCCATGTCCTGTCCATCCTGAACTAGCCTCACTAGGTGTGTAGTTATTCCCGTGCACAGTTTTCTGACATTCATACCACATTATTACATGTCCGCAGTACCTCATGTCTTATTACATAGGATATCGGACCCTGAAATATATTCACTACTATCTTCGCCTGTAGTATTCCGAATTTCTATGTACTTACTTAAATACTCTGTAGTGACCCATAACAATCATCATCCAGTAGTTAGGAGCCTGTTTCCCGACTCTGCAGATCACCCAGAATATTCTCAGTAGTTCTTAGTTGCATTGCGAAATATTATCATTCGTTCACCGTCATACTCCGTCACTTGTTATACTCGCGCATACCGCTCGCAATCTGACACTCATTATAAAGTTTCCTGACCTATTATCGTGAAGTCCAAAAGTCCGAAATCTCGGACATTGCACTTTGGCTTCAGACATTGGATAAGTACCTTCGGACATCATTTTGCAGCATCAGACATTCTGTTCTTTGCATTACTGACAGATTTTTACTACTAATACCAATTAGCAATCCCTTTAGGATCGAATGCACTTGCTCTGCAAGTATAGCAGCATAGGTCGTGCTAAGATCTACCTAAACATTGTTGACTAGGTAGTACAATTTCTGCTGAGCCCACCAGAGATTTACTCTTTACACCGGTCATATCAAGCTCAACTGGTGACTCCGAGTCTTCAGTCTTGATGTCCAGTAGTCCACCGAATGTGGAGGCAAAACTTGACATGACAAGTCCGAAATGCTCACCGGAAGGGATATCCTTGAGTTCTGGGAGGCAGGATGCACTAGTGGCCTTCTCTTCAAGTCAAAAATGGTTGAAGAGCTTTGCGATTCTGTCGACGAGGTGAATGTGGTGAGAGCCGTGAGTTGATGAGACAAAGTCTGATTTTTGCACCTTTGAAAAGGCGATGCAAATGTTACAGTCAAAGAATGAAGTCATGGCAAAGTCCCGTGAATGTTACAATTCCACTGGTATGCACATGCTGGAGTGAGTTCCAGCCCTTGTGGGACCCCTCCACATGGCTTCCATCCATTCATATGTCCTGCTGCTGATGTTCAAGGCAGCCTTTGCACACATGCTTTAGCTGTTCCTCATGAACCTGAAATTGATGTTAGAAGTCTGAAAAGAGACTTTGCGAGGATGAACACTCACTTTATGTGCCCCCTGCTGACCATACTGTACCTTCGCATGCCCATTTCTTGAATGTGGAGGTGAGTTTCATCTCCTGCTCGTTCCGGTCCCAGTACTTTGCAGGATTCCCACCCTCAGCATGTGTCTTCAGGATGCAGGAAGAGATCTCTGCGACTACCTCCTTCTGGTGGGGGTTCTTGGAGGGATTAAGGATCACAGTCGCATATCTTGCTCTTTAGAATGAGCTTGTAGGTTAAACAAGGGAGAAAAGCACAGCACTTGCCTCATAATGAAATGCCAGACATCGAGTTTCATGGTAGCATCAGGGAAAACAGCAGTAACTTCATTGCAGACGTGACTGTTACGACTTGGATGGTATCTGTTGGCAACGCTCAAACAGAGCGTGTGTCGTCAATGGTCGAGGACGTCCTTGGGCTAGCCCAAGGTTAGGGGTCTTACTTGGCGAGGCTTCGGCAAGTAAGATTTAACACCTATGTCCAAATCAGGTAGCTTATGTCAAGCGGATGCGAGACGATAAGCTATATCGGCCTAGGCTTACGACACCCGAAGGTTAATCGTAAGATCATTGTTAATTAGAAGGACAGAAGTCCGACTAGTTAACAGGGGCTTTGCTCGTCGACGAAGTCGATGAGTAAAGATCGAGACTATAGGCTTATCCGCGAAGAGCAGATAAGAAGATAGAATATAGACTGCTGGCGAGGCAGAAAGGATCACTCTGGTAAGAGTAGGAGGTCAAGAACCAAGTAGATTCAAGTTAAGGAATATGTTACATGGTAGCGAGTTTATATAGGGGACAGGAAGCATATTAGTGGATGATAACTCGTACTACCAAGAGAAGTAAACGGTAAAGGGTATGACCATAAAAGGAAGGCACGTTCGAGGTGAGACACGGGTGAGCTCTGAACGTGCAGATAAGAAAGTGAGTCAAAGATCAGAATAAGAAGTGAAACACGCAGGGGCACGATCATGCAGCTACGGAGCTAAGTATAAGTCACATGTGCGACTGCGCATCGAGTCAGAGATCAAGAAAGGAAACAGGGCAAAGGGGATGTGTCGTGCATCATATCATAGGTTACCGTCCGGACGGTAAGGGCAGGGGGACTGTCCACAGGATCAGTCAGGTGGTGAGACGGAGCATGGATATGCTTCGTCAGCGAAAGGATCCGGCCAGATGTACTGGCTCTGCTGAAGCGACAGGTAGAGAGCGAAAGGGAATGCGAGAATGACAAGGATGACCAGGGTAAGGTCGGGGTAAGGGTATGATGCAAGGGCTGATATGAGGAGGATCAGGAGAAAAATGGTAGGGGCCCAAGCATCTAGATGTTCTTGTAACAGTGACAGCAGTTGTTGGCGACGAATATTTCAGGCGGAGGGACGTCAAGCACATTGCATCGTGTCTTGAGGCCATCAAGAAGCTCGCTTATCTCAGTGTTAGACTGACCATGACAGAAGCGCTATGTAATTCACGTCAGTTGGCCTCATTGCATTGGCACAGGACAACCATGACTTACCCAGCCCACAATCTCGCTCCTCTCATTCATCAAACTTATAATCCCTCCCTTCAGGACCCTCGACTTCTGTCTCTCGTGGCTTGTAACAGTTGCTTTGGTAGCTGCATGGAATGTATTGTTGAACAAGATGCTGATGCCTGCCCGTTCATTTTAGAGTATGGTCAGCGGATGCCAAGTGTATAGTGGAGGGTCAGAGTGTTTCACCTGCAAGTGTGCGAAGGTATTCCTCCAATTCTCTTTCCCACATTCCTGACACAAATTCCTGGAACACCTCGCTGACTATGTCATGTGAGATAGGCTTGTCGTTGTACTTGTGTATATTGTATGGATCCAAGAAGACTTGAAGTGGGTTCAGACTGAAAAACTCCATCCTGTTTCGTGTCATTCGACAGGATTTCCAGGCTTGAAGGTAAGCTAGCTTTTGTTTGTTATACTCAAGTAGATGTAGTTCTAAGTCACTATGTTAGAGACCAGTGTGCAAGATACCAGGTGGTGCCACTCACGCCGGATGTTCTCTGCAAGGGTTCCTGCTGTAGACGACAGGCGTAACTCGACTAATATATCAAACAACTTGCATGTTACGGCACATCTATAGAAGAATATCGGTATGTCCCCTCCAAAACAATGTGACTCAGTGACTAAACAACAGGAATGAAAAAACATGTTGAGCTCACCTGGAATAGACCAGTGGGACCATCTGCGCCAGAAATCAGGGTTCGTCGTTGCAAAGCAATGCCCTTTGAGGTTCGTCTTCGGATTGCATCTGTTGTCCGTCTCGCTCTGCTCACATTCAGGCTCGCTTTGTGGTCCTTTCTTGCTCATCAGATCACTCCTGCAATTTTCGCATTGCAGCTGTGTACCTATTGCTGCTTCATCAAGCATCAGACCGTGGATGTCCCGAGGACCCGTTCCAGTCCACCCATCCCACTGGATGCTGTCTGAACAGTCGCACCGAGGACATCTTGCAAGTTTGGGATAGTAGAATGGATGAATAATGCGACATGGTTTTAAGTACAAAATCTCTGGGTTGACTGCAGGTTCAGACTGATTTCGTTTTCGAGCATGTAGGTATGATGGCGGCATGAAATGAGGGCCGAGGATGGGCACCTTGTGGTCCAGGCATGGTCAGGTGAGTGCCTTACTTGACTGTACACATGTCTTATCCGAGATGTAGTTCACATACTTCACAACTTCTGCCTCCCATTCATATTGATGGTGTGGTCGTGGGTTGGCCATGCGGTCAGCATGACCAGTCCATGACTCAATGCGTTTTTTGACCTATGTTGATAGCCAGGTCAGTTCCCCCTTGTCTTACCAGACGGTTTTCCAACTCATGCTTACTGCATTTTTCCAGTTTGCTTTGAATTTCTTCTGTGAGTCTTTTGGCTCAAAAGCTGACAGTAGCTTGCGCAGTATGTCTGGTTCATACACAGACATCGTCGTCTGAGGCAACTAGAAGGTGGCTACTTAGGAGGGATAGATTGAAGGGCAGGCAGAGTGGCAATTAGGGGTCCGCTACCAGTGAACTTCGCTCTTTTGACTTGAACTTTGACACACACTACTTGTTCTCGTACCCACATAATTATATTGTTTGTACCAAGTCACCATTGCAAGAAACTCCTGATCGGTGGGAACAAACAAAACTAATTATACTACCATACAGCTAATATACTCAATGTTGCCTGTACGTCCCCAAAATGTCTCTTCTTCCTCTAAGGCTCCTGGGGGACAAGCTATCAAAGAAGAGGAAAATACAGAGAGAACAGTGGGGTTATTCACCCGCAGCAGCTCTGAGTCAGACACCAAAACTGTTGATGTCCATGTGGAACATCAAATCCACGCTCAAGATATCGCGCGCTTTGCGCAATCCGGATACAACGAGCATGTCAAGCAACTTGCCACACGCTCGGGCTTTCAGGCGACAATAGTTCAGAATGTATACAAACATGTCAGCAGCTTCAAACGAACGGAGAAAGTAATAAAGGCCATGCACACCGCTGCCTTGGAGTGTGCCAAAGAAGAGATTATTGAAGAAGAGTTGGATGCGGAGGACCTGTATGCAGGGGGATGAGTTTGGTTTGAGGAAAAGGAAGAAGTGAATTGACGAACCTGATTCACCATATGTATTTAGTGTCACAGCGGCAGATATGCAACCGAAATTTTCGAGAGACGGAGCAAACAATCTGAGTTGCGTAAGGACAAATGGCGATCATATCATACATCACCGACGATAACCACAAGCTTCCCTCCCATTATTTGAACGTAGAAAGTAGGATTGCGTGGTTGTGGATGATAAAGCATCTTGTAAAGAGGACAAGTGAGCCGAGCCATCAGTGAAATTCACCGAGAAACCCTACAATATTCCACTGAAGCTTAAATTAGTACAGAATCACGGCAACACAACTCACTTGTTATTGCACCTAAGCACATCTTGTCGCGATACACAGGACTCCTGAGATATTTATTCAAGTCAATACTGGTAGGTAGCGAGGAGAAATAGTCACAGATTCAAGTACTCACCGTCAACCCCTTCGCACCCCTTCCCGAGACCTCCGATTTCCGAGAGAGCAAGCCCTTCGCAGCTTTCCCGCGGCCTGCGGCGCATGGACCCCTTCGCATGACCATATTTTCCTTTGATGTCCACGCAATGGCACGCATAAGTTTTAAAGTAATACCAATGAACGTGCTGCACTACACGATGGGTAAATAATTGTGTACAGCATAGAGTGATCATACTTGAGACCAAAAAAGATCGGCCCAATCGTGAACCTGAAAGCCCACGCATTAGTATCAACTTGAATCTAGTAGCCTGAAAGAAAAATACATGTCGCGTACTTCTATAGCGGTCTAACATTCCATAGAACATCTCAAGAAAACATCGAAAAGCAAAAAAAAAATATGAAGCGAGTTTTAACACCTGAGCCGAACCGCCGGTCATGGTACCATCCTGGTGGGGTATTAATTCCGTGCTTCAATATGCGATGGAAAGCGAGGCTTGAGGTTGAAGGCGCCGAAGTTGAATATCACTCAATGCAGTGCGTAGACGTAGCTGAGGCTGCCAGCCGCCTTTCGAAATATGGTGCAGGGACACCAAGATAAGGTCCTCCATTCTGATATAGCATGCTCCAACTCTCCACCTACGGTCTGCTTCCATTTCCATACGTTCCTTTTCCTTTTCCTGGGATAAATGTGAGTTATGATTTATAGATGATACACAAAGATTGCGAAGCGCACTTCGATGAATCGTTTCACGCAAATGGCGATATTTTTAGCCAATTTAGCTCTGGTGATAGGACCTTTTGGACTTTTGAAGTCCATCGTAGGAATCTGCCTGGTCCAAGCACGGTACCCGGGCCACTAAAGACGTGAACGTGAGGAAACAATCGTGCCAAGAAGCGAGTAGGATACCTGAAGCCGGATGGAGACAGAGGGCCCGCAGTTCTCGAACATATTGTCATTTTTATCGATGAGGTTCTTCATCTTGGCTTTCAGCGCGTCCTCGAGCACTATGCCCCATTGGTCAGGATGCGCTGTCTTAAATGTGATGGGCTCCTTAAGATCGGCTTTCTCGATGTAACGGACACGATCTTTCTCTGTGTATGGTTGATATATTGACTGGGGTATGTATGTGTCTGTGCCTGTGACGATAATCGCTTGATCGCGAATGGTCTTCCATTTTATGATATGTTCCATGGGTCGAGGCATGTCTTCCTGCACCCATCCATATTTTAACGTGTATGTTGATTACATCAATTGGCACAAACCTCGTCGTCGTCGAAAGGTTGCAAAAAAGACCCCTCGTCAGAGCTACCCACGGCAGCGGACGAATGGGGAGACATTGGGGAGGGGGACGGTACATTGAACCCAAACTGTAGTTGGTCAGGGAATTCAGCGTGTCCTGAATAGAAAGAGTCCTTGTGAGTGGAAGGGAATGGTACATCGTGATACTCGAACTAGCTGACCTTGAAAGTCGTGACTTCCATTTGTGTGGTCCATTTTCTGCATGATTCAGCAGTGAGCGGGGCAACTACCATACAGTGGAACACGTACAGGAGTAACAGAATGTGGGGGAATTGTCATATTGTGCTGCTTCCCGGAATGACTGTGATCGTCGGGACTGCGGGGGTCCGGGAAAGCGTCGAATGGAGGTGCGTCACTCATCGTGGGGAATGGTCTAGCAAAATGATATGAAAAAGAGGTAGGTCAACGAAGATATAAGTAGGTAGTGGCACAGCTGCACTCACATGATGATGGTAGATATGGATCAGCAAACCAAATGATCAGCCATCAGAGCATCATGATGTATCTAGCCGCTATGCAAAATTTAGAATGATGCCATGTCATCGACTGCGTCAGGCATGATGATTTAGTGTAGCGCGCACTGTGGTGCCACCGGTCTCTCATCAGAGTTGGCAGTTGCTACCCTTACCAAAAGATTTCATAGACCCTTGCTAATGATCTTATCATCTGGTGTGACTCAGACCGACGCAAAGAGTGGGGAAGATGAAAAGTGCACGTTGGAGGGAGATTAGGCAGTGCACCTGAGTGAATGTGATGTAAGCCATGATTCATCTGAGATGCCATGGTCATCAGACCTCCTGTGTTAGATCCATGACTACCGTGACAGTGCAAAAAAGCGATTCGTTTGGCATAAGGCCAATAATACGAAGGCTGAACAGATAACCATGCTTCTATTCGATGTTTCTCATCGCTTGAAAGCAGCGACACATGATGCATGATGCACATGAAACGTACGCCATGAACGGCAACTTGAATATCTGATATTCCAATCCCGTTCGAATTCCTCAGGGTAAATGTATGCGGCGTACAACTGTACACAGAGGGTTACATACGATATCCTATCGTTTGAGGCCATTGAAAGGTCCATAGCCATCGAAATAGTCACAAAGCAGCAAGAAAAGACCGAATGAAGCACAATGTAACGTTGTACGGCAAAAGCACGATGAACAAGTAAAGAATGGAAACCTGAAAGCCCAGCGTTAAAAAAGTTATAAGTGTAACGGCAGTGAGAGGCTCGCAAAAAGCATATCTAAAACATGGCACTTCATAAACGACCGGCACATTTGAGGAAACATGTCAAAGAGCGAAAGGCACGTTTCCAATGGGGAAGTAGATAAACAAAGTGAGTGCCAAAGGCTTGAGCGGGACAGGCAGGAGCATGGTGTCATCCAGATGGCATCCAGGGTATTCAGCACATACTGTGCATTGAGTTTGACGAGCAACTATCTTTGCCTCTGTGAATAGCTGAAAGGCTATGGAATAGAAGGCGGGGCTTGAAGTTGAAAGCGCCGGAGTTGAATTTCACTTAGTGGAGTGCGTAGACGTAGCTGAGGCTGCCAGCTGCCTTTGGAGATATGGTGCAGGGACACCAATATAAGGTCCTCCATTCTGATATAGCGCCCTCCAACCCTCCACCTACGGTCTGCTTCCATTTCCATACGTTCCTTTTCCTTTTCCTAAATAAAAGTGAGTTATGATTTACAGACGATACACAAAGATTGTGAAGCGCACTTCGATGAATCGTTTCACGCAGTTGGCGATATTTTTAGCCAATTTAGATCTGGTGATAGGACCTTTCGGACTTTTGAAGTCCATCGTAGGAATCTGCTTGGTCCAAGCACGGTACCCGGGCCACTAAAGACGTGAACGTGAGGGAACAATCGTGCCAGGAAGTGATTAACATACCTGAAGCCGGATGGACACAGAGGGCCCGCAGTTCTCGAACATATTGTCATCTTTATCGATAAGGTTCTTCATCTTGGCTTTCAGCGCGTCCTCGAGTACTATGCCCCATTGGTCGGGATGCGCTGTCTTAAATATGATGGGCTCCTTAAGATCGGCTTTCTCAATGTAGCGGACACGATCTGCCTCTGTGTACGGTTGATATATTGACTGAGGTATGTATGTGTCTGTGCCTGTGGCGATAATCGCTTGATCGCGAATGGCCTTCCACTTTACGACATGTTCCATGGGTTGAGGAGCATCTTCCTGTATCCATTCACCTTAAACAGCGTGGACATCGATTGGATTAATTGGTACGAACCTCGTCGTCGAAAGGTTGCAAAAAAGACCCCTCGTCAGAGCTACCCATGGCAGCGGGCGAATGGGGTGACATTGGGGAGGGAATAGGGGATAGGCCCTTTGGCTTCTGACACATCGATTGTCAATGATTAGTGTAATTGGTTCATCCATCGAGACATACAACAGGGGAAAATATAGGATATTGGATGTTTGATGGAGATAACGGAGTTCCTAGATGCGCAATGACGTGAAGGTGACCATCTCCCCAATTGGAGGGAGTCTGCGGCATCATTGACCCTGCTGAAGCTGTTGAAGAGTCAGATATCGATAACCGCGGGGGGTTCGTATCAATGCGAGGAAGCCCATTTCTAGTAGTATCTTGATGGGGCGAAGAGAATGGTACATTGAACCCGGCCTGTAGCTGGCCAGGGAATTCAGCGTGACCTGAATAGTCGTAAGTTTCCATTTGACTCATTTGCTGTATATTTCGTGAGCGAGGCAATAAGTATGCAAAAACATCCATACAGGAGGAAAGGGATAGCCTGAGCAAGCTCTTGACATCTGTTGCTGCTGCTCCTCAAAAGTTGAGCTGCCCCATACATCATTTGGTGGAACGAAGATGTTCATGTCGGAGAAACTGTCGTACGAGGATGTGTCGGCCATGGGTAGATGAAAGATCGAGTTCCCCAGTCGAAGCTCATTTATATGACATTCGGAAAATACAGCTAGTTGCTGTGCAGAGCCAAGGGGGGTGGCTGATTTCGTGGCCGGAGCGCCCATTCTGGAGACATTGTCGTAATAACGAAATATGCCAAATACCGCTAGATAGTACAATCGCAAGTATCCTGATCATGGAGTCAGGTTATATTATACTATGGGGAGCATGGAGGTGAGATTAAATTCCGCAGTCCGAGTGAGTCCCTAAGCGCGCTGACCAGCGTAGTTTCGAAACGAAATTTCCACAGAGATGAGGGCCAAGTGACAGTGGCATTCCACATGGGTCCAAGTCACGGAACATCTAGGAACAGAACCAGGCCATGGCTGAGCGCTGTGGGGAGTTGACCGAAATAAGTTTGTTTGTCATAACAAATGGCAGCATGGCTAGAGAATTGATAACACAGCACTTGGACTGCCCCCGCCGCATGTCAATGCCCGAAATAAAGAGTCCATGCCGAGTATATTCAAAGGTGAATTGAATTTGGCGAATGTCGAGGAGACCAGTGCACATAATTTCCTTTTCTAGAACACGTTTTTGTGTTGAACGCGCACGGACGTTAAGTCTAACTCAGACCGAATATGTCATCCCTCGCTGGTGCCCTGTACCAGCCCGGAAGCTACAGCCATGGTTTTGCCGCCGGACTGCCTCCTGTCAATCCAGGAGGATTTAATGACCAAGATGTGGACATGAACCCTCCGAGCACTAACGTTCTTCCTAAGGAAGAAGAGGATAGCGCGGCAATCTCGGGGGTGCTAGACGACGGAACACACGAGGAAGAAATGGAAGACCTCTTTGGAAACGACGCAGACGAAAAACATGATGTTGCAGATACGAAATCGGACAGGTAAATACGCTATGTTCGAGGACTCTTTGACAAGTACAACTGCTATCATCCTAGTGCCCCTGCCGTTACCCCTGCTGAATCAGGATTTGAGTCAGACGATCTCTCACAAGCGGAGAAAGAGCATCGACAAGCATTGGAATATCTCGAACCTGAAGAACCGGGTACCGTCGTGGAACAAGTCCGAGAGGCTGACGTGCGCATTCCCAACGTCCCCGTTCCAAAGAGCTCAGATGGCGATGTATGTAATACCGTCCCATTATCGTTTCTGTACACTGAAAGTATTTCCATAGCACTGGGTAATTAGAATGCCAGCCTTTGTAAAAATGGACTCAAAGCCTTTTCATCCGGACACATATATCGGCCCAGAGCACGACGAGGATGATGGCCACCACAATGAGAGCATCCGTGAGAAGAGTATGTCTATCAAGCTCAAAGTTGAAAATACTATACGTTGGCGGTGGACAAAAGATGAATTAGGTCAAGATGTGAGTAATGTAAACTCAAATCCTACAAGTCACTGACGCTTGACCTCCTTGTCACAGAAAAGACAATCGAATAGTCGCGTGATCCGTTGGTCTGACGGTTCTCTCAGCCTGAGACTAGGGAAGGAGTTGTTTGATATCACCAAGACTGTCGACACGTCTGGTGGTATCGTACGCCAATCACTAGGGGGCACTCAGCCGTCACAGCCATCGCAGAGTCAGCCAGCAGCATCACAAGGCCTGCTTTCTAGCTCAAGATCCCAAGGCTTAACATACCTTGTCGCACAGCACAAACGGTCGGAGGTACTGCAAGCGGAAGCTGTAGTCACAGGGTATATGACCCTGCGGCCCACGGGCATGCAATCCGAGACACACCGTATGCTGGTGCGCGCGGTGGGTCAGAAACACAACAAAGTGGCCCGATTACGTATGGCTCCTGATCCAACCATGGACCCCGAGCGCGAGAAGATGGAATTAATGAAGCAATCAGCTCGAAAATCCAAAAAGAAAACTGACGACACTGGATTTGGCGTACGTAAAAAGAGGAGTCAATCAAGGAAAAGGCAGGGACGTGATATCTGGTCGGAAGATGAAGAAGAACCAGAGTATGAAGGCTCAGACGACGACGACGATTTGGGTGCTTCCAAACGTAAAGCAGACGAACAAAAGAAAAGGGGTCCCGGCGAATATCAGGAGGACGATTTCGTGGTTGCGGATGAGTCAGACGACGATGCGGAGTTTGTTGGTGAGGCCGGGTCCAGGAAGAAACGAAAACATCGAGAGGAGGAAGAGGAAGATCCTCTGGACCAGCTTGATGCTAAAATTATTCAGCGTCAGCAAGATGATCGGAAACGGAAACACCATGACGTCGGAATCGAGGAGGGGACGACAGAAGCTGCGGAAGATGGCGCAGAAGCAGGGGGAGATGATGGTGACCAAGATATGGACATTGAAAGCGAAGAAGAGGAAGAGGAGCACAGGGTTCGGAAAGCCGGATCTGGCGCACGGAAAAAGAGAACGATGGCGCTTGACGATGACGAAGAGTAGTTTTGTGGCCACCTGTCTGCATTCACCATTGTTCTATGTAGAATTATCCATGGTCTGATGCTTTTACAGCCATTCGTCGTATCTATCTCAGCGTAGCTCCAACTTTCTCGCGCAACACGCCCGCTTCATCCCAATATCCGGATGGTTGAATGCTGTTTACTTCGTCCTGATTCTCCTTGTTGCCGTCCAACAGGTTCCGAAGTGCTAATATAGCATGTTCTCGAAGGTCTAGAGATCCAGCATCATAAAAGATTTGGGGCTCTCACTGAAAAAAGATTGACGTACACGGGTTGCGTTCGTCCACAACACACATATTCATAATAACAGGAATGCCCCCGCATACCCTAATGCGGTCCTGGAATGTCTTATCTCGATGGCAAAGTACCCCGACTAAACGCACAAGATCTCGTTTTAAATACGAGAATCCATTGGATCCTGCAACTGACGATGGGGTGCTTTGATCTGTCGTGGGATTTAAGACAGGTTTGCCAAAGTAAATGCGTGGAAGAAACACGTCAAGAAGCCGTAAGAGTTCTGGATAAACGCAGTCAGGTGACCTGATCTGATCTAGTTTGACAGCCTTGACGTGCCTATAACACTCTCAGCAGCGCCCTGACCGTCAGTTGAACTGGCATCTCGGAAGACTGCTCGTAAGTCTACACTGGATGGATCCACGGTCCGCTGGTCCTCGGATAGTAACGAAATTTTGACGATACATTGAGTTGCTAATACGAGGGCCTCGCACGATTTTGGCAGTAATAAATCAAGTTCTTGCAAGTATTCGATGGAACCATCCAAATTTGGCCTCGAATTGATGGGATTAATAGCTCGTGTAATTGCTGACTGCGAGTATAACGAGAGCGAGAGGAAAATTTCCGACAACATAGGGCACATATCAGAATGTACAGGACAGGTTTGCGATGATTGTAGGTATGAGTCGAGGAGTTTCAGAAGGGTAGTCTGGTGCTGCGCAATTATCTCCCCTTCACTGCCTCAGAACATGAGTACTTTCTCTGCGTTAAATAAGGGTATTCCACATACACAGACAAAGAGTTGTACAGATCCGGCGCAAAGCCGCCGTCAAATAAGTGGGCAAACAAATGATACCTATTTAAGAGAGTTGTCATGAAGTTTCACAACACACCAGTTGCAGTTACCCATAGTCAAACGCTTTTGCCCCGTCGGTAGATTCTTCCGCGTCGTACAATAGGACCATGCGGTCCAAAAGCGTTATGCATATTCGAACCCCCCCGCGCGACTTCGTAAGTAAAGAACTGGATGCAAAAGGGATAGTTCAAGGGTAAACAGAGCAAGCGAGACGTTACGTACCGACGCTCGGTGCTATCGTGAATGCAGTTTACCATAAGTACCAAGACTGATAGGATGGTCTTATGGTCAGGGGAGCCGAGCAAGCGACTGAAATTGTTTCAAAGAAAAATCAACTCCCGTAGCTCAGCAAGTTGCTACGGTGGCTTACATGAGTATCACCTGATCCTCAGGCAGAGTAAGATAAGTATTCCAAAGGTGAGACGCGAGATCCTCGTTGGTGGTAACAATGTTTGAGAGCGCCTGAACGGCCATCCTAGTAGCCGGAAAAGCTGTAGTCGAGAGGCATCCAATTTGAATTGTAATGTCTGCTGCAGAAGGGATGACTCACAATCCGTAACTTGAAACGCAGACCAGGAGCTGTACAGATGCAGAATACGGCGAAGAGCTAGCTCGACTCCACTTGAAACTCGCCGGACCGTTAGGATATCAGCACCATTTGACATGATTTAGACTCACAATGCACTCTGCTGGTTCACTGCAACACCTGCAACAATATTCCTAGTAAATCTGGCGACGCTTATTACGAGCACGCGCAATTCTGCGATATCCGCATCGGCTGAGGGATAATCTGCAAGGAAATCCCACAACTGCTGAAGGGACAGCCATATCGAAGGGTCCTCCGACCCCATACGGATCCTGATTATTTTCTTAATTTCGAGTTCTTATGGAAGGTGACTTGCGGTCTCACCTCAACTCCCCATTTCTTGCAAGGTCATTAGCAATCGTATCCAGTGCCCTAGTCAGAGATGGGACACTATCCTTGCCGTTCTTGCTGAGAAAAGCAGCACAGATCTCGCAAAAGCGGACGTTGAGCGAATATTGGTCGGAGTCCATCTGGATGAGGAACAAGCTTTGTTGAAGATGGAGTGGCGATGATCGCAGTAATTCCGCGGCACTCAGCTGACTAGCGCTGGCTCAGACTCGGATCTATCTTACATTACGCGGTATCAATGGGCTCCTCTCGAAAGCCCACAGTATGTTAAACAGCTATCATATCCGACTTGCACTGGACAGAAAGACTGTTGATAAATCACTGTCGCATCCTGACACTGTCGACACTTTCACCCCCAAGGCCTTATTTCAAAGCTTACCATCACATCGCCCCAAATCAACTGCCAGGAGGAACGCTTTATTCAACCCAGCTCACAAAGATTACAGATTCGGTCCAATAAGACTCGACTGGATTGATTTTGAGAGTTCGAGTTCTACTATGTACGCTGGTAAAGAGAAACAAGCAGGGCGAGGTGCGAGTAATTACATACTATTTCGCGCACAAGAATTCAAGTTGTTTGTTTGATGTTTCAGGCCCCTCTACGGCAGAGTTCATCCCTAATACGACAACAAAGTCCGGTTCAACAAATTTGCCCGAGGGCACAGTTCATGTGTATCGCCAATCTGAAGAACGGCGACAGAATGCTATGAATGAGTCTAATGAACCTTCTGACGCAAGTGCAAGCGAGACCATTCCGGAAGATGGCCTCATGCTTGGTGTATTAGCAGTTCCTGCATGGATGACGCCTTCGGACTTTCTCGCTTTCGTGGCACCCGCCGCGGAGGGTATGGCTCATCTTCGTCTCATCCGGTGTGCACCTACTAATCGGATCATTCACATCCTGAGACTCATGGGATGTTTTCAGAGACTCCCTTCCGAATCGCTCTATCGTTATCATCAAGTTCCGGCAGGCAGATCAAGCCCTTGAATTTGCAGAAGCATACAACGGCAAACCATTCAATTCTATGGACGTAGGTGGTTCAATGCTTTCTCTCAGCTCGATATTGAGTGTTATTGCAGCCCGAGACGTGTCATATTGTGCGTGTCCTATCCGTCGAGATAGATTCAGACACATCTGCTTTCTCCTCTGCCTCTGCGCGTCTGCCTCAATCAGTTCATGAACTCCCGACCTGCCCTGTGTGTCTCGAAAGGATGGATTCGGCTGTCACTGGTCTCATCACAGTCCCTTGTTCGCATACATTCCATTGCATGTGTCTCAGTAAATGGGGAGACAGTCGGTATGTTGTTGTACATGGCAGTTCCTTATTTAGTGATTTATGCTTATGATTATTGCCAGATGTCCCGTTTGTCGATATTCGCAGACACTTCTCTCCTCACATCCCACGTCGTCGACCTCGCGTTCGCGGCACATCCCATTTGCAAATGCTGCCGCTACCTCTCTTTCTACATGTGCTGACTGTTCCTCCACCGCAAACTTGTGGATCTGTCTGATATGTGGTAATATCGGCTGCGGGCGCTATGGCCGTGCTCATGCACACGCGCATTACGAAAAGACAACTCATCTCTATGCTCTCGAACTTGAAACGCAACGGGTATGGGATTACGCGGGCGATGGCTATGTTCATCGTCTCATCCAGAACAAAGCGGATGGTAAACTCGTCGAGCTTCCTTCCGCTGCGTCCTCCATGGGCGTCAATTCCCGGGATGACGGCACGTTAGGTCCAAGCCATGCAGATTCTCTCAGCGCTGAGAAGATCGAGGCGATCGGAATCGAGTATTCCTATCTGCTCACGTCGCAGTTGGATTCGCAGCGGTTGTTTTACGAGGAACAGACAACCGAGCTGAAGACCCAGGTGGAAGAGCTGCGAAACTTGGTAGAGAAGCTGAGTCTAGACCTAGAAAAGGACAAGACAGAAGCGAAGGAACGCGAAGTACAGTTTCGTCGAGAACAGGAAGAAAAATTAAACGAGGTATACAAGGACAAGATCAAAGCAGAGAAGAAAGCGGAGCGCATCGCAGAGGTCGCGAGGAAGTTTGAAAAAGAATTGAAGGAAGAGAAGGCCGTCAGTGAGGGACTTTTGAGGAATCTAACCAAAATGAAGGAGACAAACGCGCAATCGGAGGCGCAGCGTCAAGAGTACCAGGCTAAGATCGATGATCTTCAGGATCAAGTCAGAGACGTCATGTTCTTCTTGGAAGCTCGGGCGAAGATCGAGCAGGAGGGCGGGGCGAGTGCCGAAGCAGCTGGAGGCACTGTTGAATTGCCACCTGCCTCCGGCGCGAGTAGTGGCACAGGGAATAGAAAAAGGAAGACAAAGAAGAGCTGATGACTCCTTGGGCTGGTGCGGTGCTGTACGACTCTCGGCCGACTCATACCACAGCACATACCAGCCATATGGCTCCTTCGACCAAATGATCATCTTTGAGACACAGCCGGCATATATAGATAGCTTTATAATGTAGGATATCTGCTCCACGGCATATACTGAGGCACTGTTAACTTCACAGGATGAGATTGAGATACTGCACTCGCCCGCCGAGATGAGAGCAGAGACGGAGTATATCGTATCACTCGTGCGGACTTTCGTGGGGAATGGAAGTAGATTGAACTAGGCGTTGGCGTAATGCAGATTGATGCGGGTCTGTGCTGGAAGAAGCTGCAGTGACATCCACTGTGCCAGCTTTATCCGAGTCTTCCACGAGCTTCTCATTCCTCGATCGTACGTGTAGAGCACGTTTTGTTTTCTTGGTTGATTGGCGAGAGTCCCATATCATGTACAGAATTATCTCTGCAAGAGCAACGACGAGAGCGATAGATGTTGCGAACAAGACTCTCTGGATAGACATTTATGAGCATCCGATAACACCCAGCGGATGATTCATACCCATTCAAGGCGCAAACCCGTACGTTCACTCGCCCACCATGTTGCAAACCCAGTTCCTGCAACACTGAGGGCGCCATTAACGACCGTGGATATTGCTTTCTTGTCATTTGTTGCCTGCCGGCGCTCTGTTTCTGGATCTTTCGCTACGTACGCAGGAAACTTCTTTTCTGGTGATGTTCGCGTGCCAGCAAGCAGAGAGACCATGGAATAAGACTGAGGATCCAGCGAAGAGTTCTGCAGGGCTTTGAGGCCTGCTGGTGAACGAGACCATTGGGATATCTTGAGGAGAACGCAGTATGGAATGACAGCGCTTGATGATGGTGTTATGAAGGCTGACAATTCGACAGCAAGGTCGTCGGGTAAGATAGTCGGAAGAGGATTTAGAACTTCCAGAAGGTGATTCTCTAGAGATACGTTCAGCTCATGTATTCGGTTCATGCTCACATTCAATGCGTTGTGGTCGATTTATCCGGTCAACGTCTCGACGGAGTTTCAACCTCGGCCATGTCACACTGAGAAATTCCCGGAATCACGGTGGCAGACGCAGTGGAACTAGTCAGGATTTGAAGTAGAGGAGCTCATTTTGGGGCTCGGTTATCATGATCGATAGATTCTTTTCTGTGCCCGTGGATTACGCCAAACGAGATGGTCCGCACTGTGGACCGCACATACGGATGTTTTTACCCAACCTTCAAGTTATTCCTTTGGATGAAGCCAAAGGATCTGGCACAGGCGCTGCAGAGTCGAATTTACCTCATCGTATGTCATTCCTGATTCTTTCGAGTGTCGAGCATGATGATCACTCACAAAAACCAGTCTTGTATTTGCAAGGTAATTTGTTATGACTCAAAATGGTTGCGATCAGGGTTAACTTCTGCGTCGTGCAGGTAGTTCAGGATTCGCTGTCGACCTATCTTACAGCGTAGACTTTGGGAATGCGGTACGTCGTTCTGTCTTTATGCACGGGAGGGTTTGCGAGACTAATAAACATACTGCTAGGAGCAAGCTTCACAAAAAAAAGTATCAGGCAAACAATGTCATCAATCCTCACTCATCCATAATCGTTATCTGACAATTGCAGACCCTTTGGCTTGATCCTCCTGGGACTGATTTGAGCATGTCAATAACGGCAGACATCTCCGAAACGAGATAAATGGACGACGAGGCCATTGCCAAGTATCTCAAACACTTCCGTGCAGATAACATTGGTAGGCATTTCCCCATGATGCTAAGTGTCGCTAGTGTCCACATGAAAGATAGTCAGAGACTGTGAGACCATTCGACACTTTCTCCTTGATGGCAAGAAAAATCCTGAAGCTCCTAAATGGACAATACTCTCGGAGGCTTCTGTGCCACCACCTACCTTTCATTCCACAGTGATGGCCTAAAGGAGGTCTTCATCGCTGGCGGTATCCCACCTGTGGTCGACTCTCCCAACCCAGTTTACGAAGCCCTCGTTGGTAAGCGCCTAGCTGTCTGCCCTCATTTCAACCAACAGTTTCTCTAGTGAGGGTGGAGGAACAACGCAAGGTTTACTATGCAAAGTATCCTCAAGAAGTTCCAAATGTTCGACATTCAGACAAATCTACCTCCACCAAGTTGTTGATCAACTACCTGTCCGTCGGATCTTGGGTTTCCTAGAGGCAACAATGTAGTCATTCCGAACAGCGGGAACCTGGCAACAACTTGGCCGGCAGTTTGGAGCGCATGGTAGGTTTCGATCTACTGCGAAAGGATGGCTTTTCATATTATATGCTGAGGCGGCATCGATCGGGTTCATCGTGTGTAATTTTGCTTCAACTTCGCCAACGAGAACTCATTCATATGCGCAGAGCTCGTGTTCCGAGCGATCACAGACTTGGACACGTTTGGGAAGGTCTTATATGGACTTATTGACAGTATACAGAGCTTTGATACCGATTTATGCAGTGCTTCACGAGCCTATCTATTGCCAAGGGTGAGTCTCCACCATTTACGAGGCATATATCAACCGATCATTTCTGTCTCAGGTGCAAGGCAGGCTGGTCTGCGCAGCCCATCATCCAGAAGAACGACAAGTTTGTTTGGGAAAAAGTGAGGCTCATGTCCGATGATGTCCCCATTTACTTCATGGGGCAGATGGTACGTCAATGGTCATTCCTTTAAGATGCTGAGATTGGATCCATGCATTCCCCGACATGTTCGAAGACTATCATCGTCTACGTCCACTGCGGGGCGCGGTCAAACTATTGGTTTACGATGAAGATTGGCGTATGCGACAAGGGTTTGAAAAGAACCAAGTAAAAGTAAACGCTACAACGTGAGTGGAGGTTGTGATTTCTAATGAGTCCTTTCCAGGTATGTCTTCTGCAACAGGCAGCGTCTGTCATTGGCAACCTGGAACAACTCATCACCGGTCAGAGTTTCCATAACGGTATACGCAAGCGCATGGAAAGCATTTTAACGACCCTTTTCGAGCTGTCTAAACGGGAGCGCGATTAGAACAAATTTCCCTGAAGCCTGTGATGTGGCATTTTGGGATCGAGATAGCATAGAGATGATCTTTGCTATGGGATTGATGATATCTACAGCCATTGCACAAAAGCTTTCATTACTTGTACTGAATAGCAGTTCAGGAATATTCTGTGTCATAAATCAATGGAAGTCTTCAAAATCAGGTCATGAACGGAAATGTTGACTATTTATTTTCATTCGTCTATGGTGTCCCTATCCTGCCAGGGTGGAGCTCTTCATAAGCACCGGATTTCAGTGCTGCATGATGAGTAGGAGTGCATCCAACGTCCTCGCGCAATTCAGACGGTCGATTATCACGTTCATCGCAAAGTGCGTCTTGCAACATGAAATGTTATGCAAGATCAGTGTTGTACAACTTCATTCTTACCCACAAACCGTCAGGATTCGCACCTTAGAAGCGATCACCACCGGCTCCGAGGGAACAAACTGGAAAATACAAGATTGAAGCCAATATTGGGCGTACATATTGTGGAGGTATCAGTCTCAAAGTCCAGAATATCGAAGTCCTTGGAAACAGTGGTCATGACTAGATGCCAAGTCGTCAGATTGTCTCAAGAATGCTATAATCAACAAGGTGGGAGGACGCACGAATTGATCATATGCCAATATGCACGAACACTATGCGCTGGGCCAAGGGTATGTCTACGTCATTAGCCAACGACTGGACCGCTCGGTGCAGGGCTTGGGCAGCTCGTTTGGGATTCATTGTGCCACCCTCGCAAAACCTTTCGTAGAATGCCTCGACTAAACGCTGCACAGTATCATCGTTGACCTTCCACAGCGTCCCGACGACACTCCTAACCCCAGCAAATTGCAGGCCAGCCGCTAGGTGTATCACTTCGTCAGGCGTACTGAAGTCACCGACCGCGGTTTCACAGGCAGAAAGAAAGGCGAAATGATGCTGAGACAGATCCATCCGTGCAATATCAAGGAGCGAAAGAGGCTGGTCGCGCATAAGAAAGGCCGACTCGAAGGGTTCGTCAAATCTCTGCATCCCATGACATGCGAGATGGAACCAAGTGTTTTCTCGCAATGCGCACAATGCTCTCGATTTCGTGGCATCAATGCTGGTTATCTTGGAGAAGGAGACAGTTGGGGGAGGAGGCAAAAGTTTCCGCACCAATTCCAACTCAGGCTCCACAGCATCCAAAGTGAAAGAGGCACCGGCTGGGCAATTCTGACCAATGGCGACGAAGGGCACCGACGTGGGTCTGTGACGAGTTGCGCGAGCCTTGATCAGCGCGGTGAGAGATGGGGTGTATGAAGAGATATACAGCTGCGAAAGAGACTTTCCCCCATTTCTGTGCTCACGAGCAGCATGCAACGGCAAGAAATTGAAGAGGAATGTCGGGCACCACCATATTCGGGAACCTAGTCGTACCAATCCGCCCAACTTCTCGACCACTGGGCCGACGACATTGTTCCACAAGTCGTTCAAAGCTTCTTTCAGCGCTTGTTGGTGCCCGGTCTCTTTGTCAACTGCCTCTGGAAATGTGCGTACCAATTTGGCGAGTTTCTGGATATCAGTAGGGAGCGGAATGCTGGTGGGAGGTTGCTTGTGCGGGATAATAATGGCATCGCAAGACGATCTGCTTGCAATAAGCATGATGATGGGCCCATCACGAGCTGCATGTTGAAGATCGGAGAACAAAGGGGGAAGCAGGAAACGAGAGAAGCCCTCGATCTTCCTGATCTCCTCTACGGTTCCATTCCAGTCCTCCACTAGACGTCTGTACCGGGCAGCTTCTGCTTCCACATAAACTCTTTGAGTCCCTTCTGGATGGCTAGGGGGAGGTTTATCGAGGAGGGAGCTGAGGTCTGTGAATTTCTTCATTGGAGCCACTGCATGATCGCCGCAAGCCTGGAGCCCGTCAAGAGGTGTGCGGAGTCGAGCCATCTGGGTCCAGATGATGGTTCTGCCTTGCTCCAACAACTCAACAGCGCGACCCACGTCACCACTACGAAGAGCACACGATGCAGCATCCACAGCAAATGCACTTGGGAATTTCTTCAAGACATTGTGACGAGATGATACGGAGGCCGTGACAGACATGTAAGCGTCCAGAAGTCGCATAGAAGTCGCACAAGCCTCTAGTTGAGTGCCATGCGAATGTTCATGAGCATGGCGCACCCAACTTAGACTTGCCCGCAGCCGGGAGAGAAAGCCTGCAGAGACAATATTTGATGCCGCCTCAAAATGATGCATGGCAGCATTCAGACTATCTGTATTTCCGCCAGCGCCAGCGCCGTCAAGCTCTGAGCGATGGAACGATAAATGGACATTGGCTATAGATTGATGAACCATCGATTGAAAAGGATCATGCTGCGTCAACAACGTCAATGCACAGAGTAGTTTCTCTCGTGACTCCTCCAAGTCTTCGCCATTGCCTCGGTGGTCAAAGCGGGAGGAGAGTATATTCGCGAGGTTGTTTAATGACCCAGACCGCTTTGTGTGACCCACCGGGCACAAAGCCAGCGCTTCCCTGCTCAGTGCGATAGCCTCATCCAAGTCTCCGCCGTTGCCTCGGTGGTCAAAGCGGGAGGAGAGTTGGAGAGCGAGGTTGTTTAATGATGCAGACCGATCTGTGTGACCGACCGGGAACAAAGCCAGCGCTTCCCTGCTCAGTGCGATAGCCTCATCCAAGTCTTCGCCGTTGCCTCGGTGATGAAAGCGGGAGGAGAGTAGACTCGCGAGGTTGTTTAATGACGCAGGCCGATCTGTGTGACCGACCGGGGACAAAGCCAGCGCTTCCCTATGAAGTGCGATAGCCTGATCTAAATCTTCGCTGTTGCCTCGGTGGTCAAAACGGGAGGAGAGTTGACACGCGAGGTTGTTTAATGACTTGGACCGACCTGTGTGACCGACCGGGCGCAAAGCCAGCGCTTCCCTGTTCAGTGCGATAGCCTCATCTAAGTCTTCGCCGTTGCCTTGGCGGTCAAAGCGAGAGGAGAGTTGAATCGCGAGGTTGTTTAATGACTTGGGCCGACCTGTGTGACCGACCGGGAACAAAGCCAGTACTTCCCTGTTCAGTACGATAGCCTGATCCAAGTCTTCGCCGTTGCCTCGGTGGTCAAAGCGGGAGGAGAAACAATTTGCGAGGTTGTTTAATGATGCAGACCGATTTGTGTGACCGACCGGGAACAAAGCTAGCGCTTCGCTGTGAAGTGCGATGGCCTCATCCAAGTCTTCGCTGTTGCCTCGGTGGTCAAAGCGGGAGGAGAGGAGAATCGCAAGGTTGTTTAATGACGCAGACCGATCTTTGTTACCGACCGGGCACAAAGTCAGCGCTTCCCTGTGAAGTGCGATAGCATCATCCAAGTCTTCGCTGTTGCCTCGGTGGTCAAAGCGGGAGGAGAGATGATTCGCGAGGTTCATTAATGACGCAGACCGATTTGTGTGACCGACCGGGCACAAAGCCAACGATTCCATCTGAAGTGCGATCGCTTGATCCAAGTCTTTGTCATTGCCTCGACGCTCGAAGCGAGTCTGTAGCATTACAGCTAGATTGCCTAGCAATTGCCCTCGCCAAGCATGCCCGGCGTTGTAGTATCCCAGGGCATGATAATGAAGGGATATCACTTCGTCTAAGGCACGAGGTTCATCTCTCTCCAAACACCGCTGTGCTTGATCAGCAAGTTGATTCGGCGATAACGGAAGCATGGATGGGGCGTGCCACTCCTGCCCGACATCATTTGCATTAATGCCTCCAGCAGAATGTAGAGCGCATGTTTCCATTGCAATCGCAGCCGCTCTGTGAATGTGGGTGTTGGCGTGGCAGACATTGATGACTTCGCTCAGCAACTCTTTGGCTGCATCAGCATCCGTTTGAAATCCCCGTTTTGCGAAGCGCCAGAGCAGAGCAACCGCAAGATGCAGCTGCGTGACCGTTCGGTCCGGATGACAGGTGGGACGCAAGTCGAGGGCGCTTTCAAACAGGGAGACAGGGACGTCGAGGTCGAGGTATCTTCCCTCGGCTTGGCAACTAACAAACTTTGCGATGGCGAGATTGAACAGCACTGCAGGGCGGCAGGGATGATCTACGGAGCAGAGATCTGAGGCGTGTTCGAAGTGGTTTATGGATTGCTCGAGATCCCTGCCGTTCTGCGTTCTACGGTATCGTGCGAGAAGACGATGTCCGGCATCCGTCCTCAGCGCTAATGCATCCGATCCGCGGGACGTAGGCTACACGTTACGGTTTTCAGTATCAGAATGCCAGACTGCATTGATCGCTCACAATAGTAAGGGGGCAAAGAATTGCGACATCGTTTTGATCAGAAAGTTGCTGCTCCACTGTGAAGGAAAGTGAAGTACAAGCGGATACGACTTCCTGATGCTTTGGCTGAAATATTATGGCTATGATGCTCGTCAGCATCTGTCAGGCATTGTGTGTAATGGACGATACTGACGATGCGATTTTTCGCTGCGATCCAGTAATTCTCCCACCGAGATCTCGAATGTGCGGAGGAGCTCTCCGTGACAAAGCATCGGACCCAATTCGAATGAGGCATACACGCTGATCCGGACTTTGGAAGATGGCTCGCGCGGCCTAGAGTCTTTCTCAATACCTGCAGAGCAGAAGAGTTCAAGATGACTTACAGAGGAATGTGCTCGTGCCATTCGACGACAGCTTGGTCTACGTTTACAGATCTATTGCTTGTCTCGTATTCAACGTCGTCGGCCTTGATCACTGCATGGAAGCCAGCGGGGATCCGTCGGAAGCCAAGAGTGAGATCAGTCGCACGAATGACTTGAAGGAAATGGTCAATACAAGCTGAGCGGAGATGGATATCGCATACCAGTGATGATTGGTTGCACCACATTGAGGTGCGTCTCTGCCGGGTCCTGGGTGTGGTCTGGATCGTTCGGCTCCTCACTAAATAATAAGCACATTGTCAGACGTTTGGACGAACAATTGCTTGATATACTTACTTATCTTCTTTTTTCCTGAAAATGCGAAATCAAGTCTATACATGTGGTATACAACGCAGCGACTTACGATCGTAGATGTCTTGAGCTCTTGTCATCATCGCTGCCTGACGACTTATGCCCGTGTTGTATCCCTTTCGAGGGCTCGGTACTGGAAGCGGATGTTTCTACTAGAGGAGTTGGGGAAGTTCTAAGCGACGACACTGGAGAAAAGTCTGATTCTGATGGGGTTGATGAGACACATCGACGATGAGTCATTATGAAAATGATGACTGAGGGATGTATTCAAACGAACAGTGGTCATGAAACACTGCGGCAGTACTTGTAAAGGTCTGAAGGATTATAAAGGAGGAAATCACAGCACGCACATGGCATCCACCCTGTGCAGCGCCAATGAGTTAACAGGATATCATGATAAGCGGCCTGCCAAATATCGGGACTTTCAATATAGTCTCAGTAACAATATTCATGTCGTCAGATTTGTACAGCAGTTTGATGGCACGATGAACTAGGCTTAAAGCGGCCGACACGAGAAGGCTGCGAACCTGAAGAGCAGTGCATTCCACAATTTCGTGTGATTGCGACTTTTACTGTTGGACTGTTGCGCGAGAACTTGAAGGCACAAAACTGACTGTACATGTCATTGCAAGGACTGGTAAGAATCGGGTCAAGCTGGTTTGAAATAATTAATGAAGCTCCGATCATTTCCGTCTTGTTTTGCAGCCTCGTTGTCGTGATGTTGATGATTGACGCGTAAGATATCGCTTGAATGAGTAGCATTATAGAAACATCCGATTCGGTTGTGTGTCGTTACGTCCTACAATCGTTTGCATTAAAAAGTTCACCCCTTGCAACATCTTTGTATGTATTTGGTGGGTAAATTTGAATGTACACTCTAACCCTAACCACAACAGCCACTGTCACACTGCACACCAAGCCTCGTTTTAAGCTGATTGATAATAGTCTTCATTTTTCTTTGGCAAACTCTGCCAGCCATTGCACGCAGCAACTCATTTCGCTCTGCTGCTGCCTTTGAAAATTTGATGTCCGTTTGTGCGTGACTGCAAGCCGATGAAGGCTGTGCGAGAGCGTGGGAATTGAGACTTGAAACATTTCAGCAGCTGCTCTTGAAATTTCGTCAAGGAAATAGGGTAGGGATGAGTTGGCATTGAGAATGGATGTGATAAATGACAGGTCCTGTTGGTTGAGAGTACGAGGCTTGCCACGGCAATGAGCAAATGGATCTCTTGTCTGTCCAAAATCTCGGTGAAGTCTGTCAGAATTTTGTAGATACTTCGCTGACTGCACCCAGCAAGTTGAGCTATTTCAGCAATTGTCTTAGAATGCCAGACAATAATCCACTCCCTTAACTGTTCTGTGAGGTGTGGAGACATGATATCGTTACATCATATAGTTCTCGTGTGACAGGTCACCCGGCAAACACATTTGAGAATATTCGAGGTTTTTTTGTGGGCACAAATACATACAAAGATGTTGCGTCCAAATCTAGGGGTGAACTTTTTAATGCAAACGACTGTATGTAGAACTGAATCTGTAGTCGATTGGAAAAGATTCTGCGTCCGGGGACGGTCAATTCACTAAGAAAATGTAAAATAAATATTGAGACCCGTAGGTCTACCACTCCGGGAAAGCGTGTCATCCTTGTGCAGGGGCCATGCTAATCTTCTCTGTATCGTTCCAATTTTTCGTATGTCACCCCGAAGGGGACAGCATTTTGTATGACGTAGAAATTGAGGTCAACACAATACTGCATTTGTGATGGAAGCCGGGTTTGCAAGTTACCTCAAATGGCAGGCAGCAGTTCCCCAACAAAACGAGTCATAAGGCTCGCGGGCCTAATTGTCAATCGTTCCTCATGATCCAAGCGTGTACATCAGTGATACTACATTCCTTGATACGAGCTCCACTCAACTGATTGCTAGATATATTTGCCTCTTGGCGGATGAGAGGGTGACAAAGTATGACCATGCGTTATATGTAAGTATGTGTAGGTATTAAGAAATCATGGAGAGCGTCGCGGACGAACGAAAGAAAGAAAGCATCGCGATCAGATCAACCACAAAGCACCCCAATAACGAACCAAGAATGAGAAAATATCAGTAGTGATGGATCGAATAATGTACATCAGAGAAGTTATTGTCAGTTTGTGGTGCCAGTGGGACATCATATAACACCGCTTCTATGTTGCACGGGGAAGGCGGATGACATTGGTGAAACCTGATTTTGGTTTGCACCCTCAGCGTCCAGGGAAACGGAAGGTCCACTGCTGAGTGCCGGCGCGGAGCCCGTACTCGGCGTCGGCGGCACCGTGCCAGAGGTAGGCACTTTGCCAATGAACCATGACTAGTAAGTGGCAAAGATGGTTAGTGACGCTCCACAGGTACGGAATACGTAGACGCACAGGTACCCATCCTCGATCACCACCATCTTCTTTGACAGCCTGCACAGCAAGTGAGCTGGATACCATGGACCGTAAACTATAACTTACATATGACCAGTGATTGTATTTCTTGAACACCCTTAGCGCATCGTCTTTCACTAGATCCAACTCCTCTTCCCCTTTCTTCTTGTAGTCCATGAGGGCTATTCCTGGGAAACTCGTCGATATGATGCTCAAGGGGAGGATAGGTGTCTTAGAATCAGCCGCTAATGGCACTTCAGAGGACCCTGCTGCTTTGGAAAGTGCGGTAGCCTCTGCAATGGCGGATGCAACTGGGACATTGGTCTCAAGCAGGCAACCTGCAGGTACCCAGCCCTGCTTTGAGGTGTCGGTGTCGACCACACCCGATCCTGTCGGGTCCCGTTGCACCACCCACCACCCTCGTGCGCGCGATAAAATGACGAATGTATCACCACTATATGTGACTTTGAGTATAGCCAACGCTAGTTGGTAGAAAAAACACCTACACAACTACGTCAAACTCATCTTCCTGCTCAGCCATATACGGGTATATTGCAACCGCGTATGACACTCCAGACATTGGTGGTGGCATCTCCCTCCTCGCTGTGTCTGCATCAGCGGTGTTCGTGGTCCGTGTTTTTGAAACCTCTATGGTGCTCGTATGGCCAACGAGCGTCGTCGAAGTTGAACATGTGTCTCGGTTGCTCACAGCCTCCTGCTCTTGCTTCTCCAGTACAGGCGACATGACCTCTGGCCATCCAGCTTGTGGTGTGGTGCCTGTTAACAGGGGTGCGGGAGGTGTGATGTCGTTAACTTCCAATCTCGGTGGTCGTGTGGCTGCCCTGCCCTGTCCTGATGATGAAGACTTATTGTTTGATTGGCTAGATGATGCCTCCGATGCAACAGACGCCTTGCGTAACGCGTGTTTTTGCTGTGCGACAGCGATGGGAGAACGGATGTCTTTGATGTGCTTGAGCATGAAAACGGGGTTCTTCTTGGCGTCTTTGAGTTTTTGAAAGAGCAGAAGAGGTTTTTCATCGTAACTGAGACATCGCTCGATGCGGTTTCCTACAGACCGAATAAGACATTTCTGACAGAAGAAACTGTTCTGCTTACCAGGGGAGCCGTAACATATGAACATTGCATAATTTTGCCAGTGATCGTTGTTGATTTTGTACTTCTTCAGGGCAGCAGGAAGCACTTTCCACGTTGGGTCCTCTAGACTGACCTTGAAACTCTTGAGATTGTCGGTGCTGTCTTGCCGGCTTGGTCGCGATGATGTTGAAGGTGAGGGTTGCACAGGTGACTCTACGGGTGGCGGTGGAGGCTTGTGGGATTGAGTTTGCTGGATCCCGCGATTATGAGAAATATCAGGCTCCACTTGTTGTGGAGAAGGATGGGGAGATTCGACGTCGGGTTTGGTTGGTGACTTGGTAGGGTTGACATACTGAGCCCACTTGAAGGAGGGTTGTCGCTTCAGTGGAGCATGACTGATCTCTTCAACAAGCAATTGGAATCTTTCGTTCAGACGTTTGTTATCTTCCTCGAGTGAATGAACTTTTTGTGCTGGTGCAAAGAATGATCTTAGCACAGTGCCATGATATAAAAAGGCTGATGACAGACCTTGTTCCCTGACGAGGTCGTGTAGCTTCTCCACCGTGACATTGCGTTCCTGCACTTCGGCTAGAGATAAAAGTCAAATTTTGAAGTAGCAGTCATCAGAGAAGTGCGCACAAGGAGGAATATAGTGGTCGGCTTCGACAGGCACATGGTGGGCGAGCTTAGCCTGATAGACGGCTTTAAGAATGGCCAATCTCTGACCCACAGTGCTTATCCCGACTGCCTTGAGATCCTCCGCATCTAGCATACAAAGGACATCACCAGATATATTGTGCTCTGATATATGGAATTAGTATTCAACATATGAACCTTCGCAGATGACATGAGTAGCACCTTTGATCTGAGCTTCATACTGCGGAAAACCAAGACTTGAAAGCCATCGGTGGACACGTTCTTCATCCCAGTCCAATATGCTACGTTCACCGTTGGTAATATCCATGGCCATGACGAAGACAGTCGCGACTATAATGCTAAAGGGGATCAGACAAGGAGAAGACCTGACACCGCCAGTCAATCCTTATTTACTAGGTGCAAAATGGATCAAGCACATCCACACATTGACAATTTCATATGCTATTTTTGGTACGCATCACGTGATTGTTACTATTATAGAAGCTCATACTTTGTTACGATTGTCTGTATTTAAGATTCCTTGGCAGCGACCACCTTATGGAGGACCTCCTTCAACACGTGCTTAGCCATCACAGTCGTGCTGGGATAAGGGGGCACGATAGTGGCGGGAGTTTTGAACCTGCGGAAGTTCTTGTCGGGGTCTACCGCTACCTTCGCGTTCTGTTTAGAACTGATACCACCAGGCTTGTGGGAGTAAAAGTTCCGAAGCGCGCGTCCTATGGCCAACTAGCTGCATTCGGTAACTGTGACCCACCAGGTGGGTGGTTTACAGTTGGGTGAGGGCTAGTAGGTGAAGAGGAAGCTTCATATCCCAGATCTAGTCGGCCTTTAGCTCAAACTGGATCCTAAACCCATTCGCAACGGTGCTGCTGCGGCCATGCCCGGTTCACATTAGATTTGGCGTCTCTGTGCAGAGACGATGCTGTATAAGTCAGACCTGCACAGTGAATGCTAAAAATAGAGATTTCCTTCAGTAAATTCTGTAGGTTGTACATGCACGGGTAATTTTCATAAAGCACCACATGAAAACATATGGAAACCCTGCTGTGCAACGAAACGTGTTGATCATGCCAATTCCGACCTGATGTAAATCCGGTATGCCTGTCACTGTAATAAGTGGTGTTCTGGAGCCAATGTCAATCATCAGCACTCACCAGAAGGGCATTGCATGATGATGTAGAATCGTTCGGGCCCACATCCTCGACAAACTGAGCTTAATTCGCCACAACGACATCGTCGATGGTACCGAAAAGATGCAAGTCCTGGTTCAGATCGAGCTCAGCCTGAACCCTCAAGGGAACAAACCGTCGGCATAAATATGACATATCGGATGAGGCTGAGGTCGAACAAGTCGATGCTGAGCGCTGAGCTGTGTGTCCATTGAATTTGGCTTGAACTTAGTAATTATTCCCACGCAACCCCGCACAATGCAACTTTCACTTTGACTTGTGCTTGAGCTCGACATATATTCAGGGTGAGGGTATGTATAGCTGTATCCTGGACAAACGAGAGTCTGCCCAGTGTCGCGAGTGAACGGCTGAAGCATTCTTATTCCGTAGCAGCTGAATTGGCTAGACTTGCTTGCTATGAACAACCCTTGGGCCACAACCTGGGAGCAGTCAGACGATCAGTCAAATAATCGCAAGACACCCGTTCCGACACCCTCCTGGACCCATACCATTGGAAATCAAACCCAGGATCAAGAGGAAGATATAGGACTTCCATCATGGTCCGCAAACAATGATACGCAATGGTCAGAATCACCTCACACTAGCGATGCTCTCTGGACCTCTTCCATCGGCGACACTAGCGTATGGGGCTCTTCGACATACACAAAGATAAACATTTCTCGCCAGAGAATAACAGGAGCAGTTGTTGATTCAGAGACTCAAGATGAATTCATATGTCCCGTACCCGCAGCTGCCACAACCAGCGAAGACAACGTTGTGGTACTTGCTCCCCCAGATTCCGTGGAGTCTCACCCAGTGCTACCAACAGTTGATCTCACTCCCCAAGTTTCGGACATTCCTGACGTAGATAATGGGTCTGAAACCGGCGCGTCTGTCAAAGAGGAAATCGAGGATGACAGTGAAGCATGGGCAGACCCAATAAATCTCTCAATAGACGATGGTGATGAGTGGGGTGCCGCTTGGATGGATACATCTGCACCTGAGGCGTCTGTCAGTGTTGAAGAGCCACCAGATGAATGGGAATCAGCGCGACAAGAGAAAGAGAAGTTGAACCGTGCAGTGGTATGATTGGTGTTTATGTGCGTTAACGTTACTCACTAACTATTGTTCAGCCTCCAGAAATGATGGCAGCTCTCATTCAGAAGTGCCAGGAAGTCTCTGGTGAGCTCTGGCCAGGGACAGAGTCCGACTCGGATGCTAGCAACTGGAGGACTGATTTTGATGGACTTGAGAACGTGTATGTACATAACTTGGTATTTCCTTACGACACAATTTACATGCCTCTTACTTCAGTACGGTCTTATTAAACGACTTGGTCCCTGAGGACATGGCTTTGTCCCCTCCGATGCAATTCTCTCAGACAGCCACTGCAAAAGAGTTAAATAACGCGCTCAAGCTCACGAGGCATATGCCTTTGATACGTAAGAGCCCAATGGCCCTCCTACTTAGTTCCAAGGGATCAACGGACTGGGAGAAATCGGTTAAAGCTAGGAAAGATATTCCTGTGGATGATGCTCCAGCGGGGTGGCGAATCCTAGAGAAAGATGAACGTGCTGCTATGGCTGATGCGACTCATCCCAAGAAACCTGGTTCAGGATTACTTTCGTTCTGGAACCGCAAGGCATCATCCTCAATACCTTCTGTAGATGCAAAGGTGGAAAATGTGCGACCACCGCCTATATCCGCGCGTTCTAGCGTCGACAGCACGAAGCCCCAGGCGCCAGACAAACGTGATATCTCTCCCGCTCGCAGTCTATCTGTCTTTATGCCTTCATCCCCGGTAGCCAGCTCATCTGCAGCTCCTGATGTCGTGATACCAGCGGTCACACCTGCACCATCGGCCGTTTCGCGCTTTTTGAACCGTTTCTCACGTGCCAAAGGCACTGGATCTGAGCGCAAGTCTATTGCTCTGTCAACAGACGATCTTGATTTCCTTTCCGACATTGTACCTAGTACACATGACCCTGATGACGACATGGACAATGCCCAGTTGAAAGCGCTGTCGAATTTGGTAAATTCAAATCCAACACCATTGCCCACAAAGCTTCCACCCCCACTCGCACCACCACCAAAACCTCCATCTGTGAACGCCAGTCGACCTCCTTCTGTCGGTCTGAGTGGTTTGGGCATTACGCTGGAGCCTGCACATGGTTCTCCCCAGCATCCTCCCGCTCGTGCTCCATCCCTGTCGCTACCATTGTCCCCAGTCGCGTCAGATATCTCGTTCTCGCGTCCGCACAGCCCAGCAGTACCTCCTAAACCATCTTCACCAATTAACACGACTTTTTCTGCTTACACCAACCCAATAATACCAGCTGTAATACCCTCGCCACCTCGACCATCTTCAAGAACGCACTCACCCTTTCAACTGCTGCCGCCACCCAAGGCGTCTTCTGCGCTCTCAATACCTCCACTTCTGCCACCCCCTGTCTCACCGCCACAAACACCAAGGCCCAGCGTATATCCCATGCTAGCAGCTACATATCAGGACCTCGACGAAGATGACGACTCATTCTCCGCTTTCTCAAACCTCCCTCACACAGATCCCTTTCCAGCACCACGCGAGTCCATGGACTCATCTCTCAATTCACCATCTTCCACACAAGCACTTAACTCCAGCAAGTCATCAAATTCAATGTCTTTCGACGACTTTGACGACTTTGTAACCTCATCGCGAATCCGCACGCCATCCCCGCCGCCCGTCCCAGCGAAACCCTCAAAGATGGTTGGAGGAGCGACAGCAGCAACGCCAAGCTTGCGGTCTGACACGTCCATACACATACGCACGCAGAGTCTGCTTGATCATGCTGTCACACAGCGCGGACAGTGGCCGTCCCCACTGAGTGCGCATTCCAGCCACCCCGTGCTGCCACCCCCATCTGGTTATCCGTCATTTGGTCGGGACATCGATCTGTTGAGCGATGGCGGCGCGGTGCTGTCGGCGCCGAAGTTTGGGACTCCACCACCGAAGGTGCAGTCTACGATGGTGCCCCAGTTGTCGCCGTCCCTGTCGCCTGCGCCATTGCCCCAGCCGCTGTTATCACTTGCGTCACTGTCACCGTCATCGTCGCGGGCTGAGAGACCGCCTGCGAAGCCGATTCAGACGGGTGGGCTGACTGCACAAGATTTGTCCTTCTTTGAAGGGTTGTGAGCGGTGAGATTGGAGTATTGGTGTTGATTTTGGGTTTATCACGGTGCAAATGTGTATTAACGATTAACGAAATCCGGAAAACTTTGTTGTGTATAAGCAAAGTTAATTCATTATCAGCGCTACTACATCAATAAGATGCGGCCAAGTTCGCCATAAAGAGGTAACAGAGTGGAACACATACAATGGACGAGAGTACAAGAATGAAAATATACAAACAACAAATATATCTCATGAGTATGCAGAATCATGGCAACCAGGGCCAGGTATGGAGTAACAAATAATTTCATCATCTTGATAGCTTCATTCACTTCCAAAAGTTCCATGCAGACCCACCCCGCGCATCGTCTGCACCATCGCGGCTCTTGTTCTTCTGACGATGTCCTGTAGAAGACATATGACCGTGTGAGTCAGCGTTCTTAAACACACGCAAACCACGATACGCACCAGACAAATTTGGGTCCGCATATTGCGGGGCGTAAGGTGCCTGTCGCTGCATCGAGTAAGTATCTTATGTAGGGTTAGGGTCTTGAGGTTGCCTTACGTGGTCTCGGGACCTGGAATGAGTGCTCCGTAATGAGCGCATAGATCCTGCGGCTGGCGGTGGGACATGAGCTTCATATGGTGGAGGAGGGTCTTGACTTGACGGCGGTGCAGCGATGGCACGGTGATTATGATGAGAAGGGGGAGGGTTAGAGTTCGAGGGTTGCTCGACCCCATTGATCAAGCGGCGCTCGGTACCATCCGGGAATGAGTAGGTGACATGCTCGTTGCCCTAATAAATGACGAATGATTGTCAAAATAGAGATAGATAGATGAACATCACTGACTTGTGAATCTCTACGAACAGCTTTGGTGTGGGTAACGCCGTTTACAGTAGAAGTTGTGTAGCTCTCAGAAACCCATCTAGGGCCATTCGAGCCACCAGCGAGTGACCCGCTGGAAGAAGAGCTGTATACATTTACGTTTCCTCCTGTGAGGAATCCAAACGGCGAGCTCGTAATGGGAGACATGGACATCGGAGACATGAACCCTCGGCCAAAAAGTCCATCATCCCAATGACCAAATGGATCGCCGAATGGATCTCTCGAAAAGGCTTGGTGAAAATCTCCAAAAATACGATTGAAGAGTATAAAAGGGTCTGTGAAGTCATGGAAGGGCGGATGACGTGAAGAAGGGAAGAATGGGTCTGCTTGATGACCATGACTGAAAAATGGATGTCGGGAAAAGGGGTCCTGGAAAAAAGGATCTTGGAATGGCTCTCTAGTAGGACGTTGCCAGTTGCCCTGAGTGTAACTCTCCTGGGCAGTTGGGGGAGGCCATATTCCATGTCGGTCATAGGTCTGAAAGATAATCAGAATAAGATATAAGATGGCATGACTGACAAAAACCTTGCGGTTTTCCGGGTCGCTGAGGACTTCGTAAGCGTTATTGACCTAAAATAGAGTTCAATCTGCTTCAAAGACATGAGCGTCTTGAGAATGATACCTTGCGGAACATCTCCTCTGATGCAGATTTCTGCGCTGGAGAAGCGCCTTGAGGCAAACGGTCAGGATGAGTTTCCAAGGCTTTCCTTCTATAAGCCTTGCGAACTGTGATCAGAGTTGTGAATTGTAAGACTCGACCTATGATTGTGTGTTTGACTACATACTCTGGTCTGGAGTAGCATCTCTGCTTAAGCCAAGTGTTTCGTAAAGGTTTGTGGCCATCCTTGATGACAACCAAGAGTATTTGAAACGTGAAGAGCAGTATGGATGCAATAGTCGTCTAGGTAGACTAGTACGAGAAGTAGAGAGAGAGCCTCGACTTTCAATGGCAGAAGAGGCTCAGAGTCTATGACATTCTATTGCCTCCGAAGTCTCTTGGGATGAGTGACATTTGCCTTTTACAGATTTCTCTGGTGAGCCGAGAACATCTAAATATTGCCACAGACTTGACCCAGACGGGGACTCGCCGATTCCTGAAGCGTATGCTTGCAAAATCAAAAGCTCACAACTTGCACGACGTTTGATCACTTGGGAGCTCTTAGAGTCTCAGACTCCACTCAGATCTCAGGCTATATAAGTTGAACGAGTGTCCAACTTTTCCAGTCATAATTCTCACGGCTGCTAATCAAAACTTTGTGACGCATCCGCGAAATTTATGATTCTGCAAGAAGTGGTACTATGTGCTACTGCACCCCAGGCTCAAGGTTCTGGCTCAGGCGCAATCGTTCTCCATGACATACAGACCGGTACATCACTCGCATCCTTCAAGCAATCCAGCTCTGCGCCGCACTGCACATCATTCGTCGAAACACTCGATGGCCAAGGAGGGTTCATCCTCGCGGCGCAACAAGACAAATCTATTCTAAACGTCTACAACTTTCAAAAGGTAAATCTCATGTTTCTGATATGGCCTTCACCTTTCTCAGTGCATCATAGGACCAACTTGCTTTCAAAATAGTCCTTCCTGAGAGGCTTTCGTGTATTGCGCTGGATAATGCGGGAAGCTTCTGCGCGGGAGGGACGGCCCAAGGTCGAATATATCTGTGGGAGGCGCGTCAGAGAATATAATATGTCTGGTGGACCCCGACTCAATTTTTGACAGTAGGTCGCGTCAGGCATCTTGTACAACTCTTGGGACGCCCACTACCGTCACGTCAATGTCCTGAAATTCACCCATGACGGTGCTGCCCTTATTTCAGGCAGCGATGACTCGGGTGTCAGTATTTGGTCCGTGGCAAGGTCCGTCGTACATTTGTTCGTGTTGTTGTGTTATTGACAGCAATGTAGACTTGTCGACAACGACACCCAAAATGAACTTCCGACTCCATATTGTACGCTATCAGACCACACCCTACCAGTGAAAGATATCGCTTGCGGCCTTGGCGCATTCCCTACTTGTCGCGTGCTTACCGCGTCCCTCGATCATAGTGTAAAAGTGAGCGCGTTTTTCTAGTCGCGAGTACCTTTTGTTCACCTCATATACCAAGATTTGGGATCTAAGTTCTCAGTCGTTGTTGACCACCTTCCACTTCCCTAAACCTATATCTTTAGCAGTTTGGGACATTACCGAATGCTCATTTTTCGCTGCTTCACCGGATGGCTCCATATACCAAGTCAACCTTTTCCGCCAGCGAACTGAAAAACACGCTGGTCAGACGATTGAAGCCATTGGAGGCGCAGGCGTCAGCGATGTCATCCGTGTCGCCGATGAAGACAGCAACAGTCGAAAACGACTCATATCAGTCGAGTATGCCTTTTTCGTACATGCCTAACGTGTACGACTAGCTGACGCGTCTCGAATACAGCCAACCAATAACAGCTCTCACCATCTCCCTCACCAGCTCGCTTCTTCTTGTGGGTACTGCTACGGGCCTCATCCACATCTACGACATTGCCTCCCACCAGCTTCTTCGCACCATCTCGACGCACAAGGGCATGTCGATATCCCATCTCACGACCATGCTCAAGCCGCCTGACCTTGTTGGACACATAAGCCTGTCCCTCAACCTTGGAAGTTCCGCCGATGCAAAAGATATCATCCCTATCCGCCCTATCGTACCGTTCCACCGCACAAAAGATTCAAAGGCAAGGGAAGCGCACGAGGTGGCGATGATGCTTCCCGTGCAGGCCGAGGTAGGTTTTTCTTCTGTGGAAATGGGTATTCGGCTGACGTTGATGTTCGCCCCTAAGACCCCTGGAGGCATACCAAGCGCTTACGACTACCCCGAAGCTGAGTTTCAACAAGACTATGCGTTTTTCGTACGACCGAACACGATTGGCACCTCGGAGGCATCGAGTGCGCGCGTTACTGAGCTTGAAGCTGAGGTAGAGAACTTGAGAGAACAACTTGGGAAGGCGAAGGGGATTAACGATGTGATGTGGGAGACAGTTGTGCAGAGGATCATAACACAGGAAAAACAAAAGGCAGTTATGGAAGGTCAGAATGCCACTATGCTAGGTGAAGGCGAGGACGAAAATGATGCAGAGAGGCCGAGAAAGAAAGGCAAGAAGACGGAAAGCAAGAAGTAAACGATCTTCCTATTTAACTCATTATTCTAATTTTCCCAAAGTTAACGCAGGAAGGTTTTCCTGATGGGATCGTGCAGTCTCCTGACGGTCGCAATGATATATGGTCGTGGGGTTTCGAACAGATGCCACAAACACTGTCCATTAGTCTCTGACTCACCGTGTCTATCTACTGTTCTTTCGCGTCCAGTCACCTATCAGCTCCTATGGGTTGGCCCTAGTATTTCGGATAATACAATGAAGCCCTAGCAAAGTTCGAGTCTAACATCGCATTCTTTAATTGCCGAGCGGTATCGATCACTCGATATCCATGACGGTACTACATTCTGAAAGGATCCTTGATCATACATGACATCTGGTTGGCGCTCGCATGTATCTGGATTCGACATGATAGAACTGCATGCTATGTTCATGCTCGATGACTCGTGGACATATTTTGATGGCATTGCATTGCTTCAAGGTGCGAGCATTCACCGGCACCGTTCAAACTGCGTGTTTACTAGTACAGCCATTGTAATATCAGTGTTGGTCGTGGAGGCAAGATAAAATGACAACAAAGGCCACGTCAGCACTAAGCACTAAGGCGGGTCACAAATAATCAAACAACTTTGTCCACTTAAGTTGGATCGTTCCCTTATTTTCTTAGTGGGACTTGTATCCTACACCATCTCTTATACATCCACCGCGTCATTGGCACGAGCAACTGCAAGCTCGACAGTATGTAGTGCTATTTGTCATTGCATGATGGGGCCTTGATTTTTATAGCATCGGTGACGCTATCATTCTGCGAATCTCTTATGGATGTCAACGATCCCTTCGTCGATCTTGCGGATCAATTATCGCGGTCCACCGATACTGGTGCCTTCATGGTTGATGCCATGCCATGGTTTAGGAATGGTTTCCTGGTGCTGGGTCCAAGTGCTTGGCCCGTGAATGGAACCAAACCCTCCAAGAGATGGTTGACGCACCATACAAATCCGTCAAGGATCAGATAGTAACTAACTAACATCCACAGTTCGGCGATCACGAGTTGAACATATCACAGGCTGTCAGAGTTGCCCCAGTGGACGTCTTTCACCTCAAATTTGTTGAGAATCCGTATTTTGTCTGCCGAAGAGACGGTCCGCTCAAGCCCTGTGGCGCCGACACCGTGACGGTTAGCTCCTCTATAGATCAATTGTCATATCTCGAGACTAACATCTATCTCTACAGACAGTTTCTACGATCTACTCGCTTTTCCTAGCGATGACACTGTTCCCTGATGTGCAGAAGAAGGCTCAGGCTGAGATAGATGCGGTTGTTGGCACTGACCGTCTTCCCTCCTTCGCAGACCGCGAGTCCCTTCCATATATCGAAGCCCTTGTGAAGAAATCCCTGCGCTGGAATGTTTTTGTCCCTATAGGTATGCGTTTATCGTATTTTTGTTGTCTAAATCTGTCATGCATCCCGATATCGCATTGACATATCTTGTTTCATCTTTTTGAATCAAGGCTACTCGTGCATATGGCCTCGGTCTATGTATAGTATACACATCTGGCACCTCACTGGTACTCCCTGCCAAACAACAAGGAGTAGGTTCGCGTACTTGAGATGTCCCACCGACGTCCGACACCTTTACGCGTAGCAACCGCCCTCGACTGACTGTTGTCATCTTACCGTTGTGAATATCAGGAACACATTCACTTTATTACCTGTCCCTTCTGGCGCCGATGTGAAGAATGACATTGTCACATGTCCCGTCATGCCATTCCACTACATGAAGGATGGTGAGGCACACAAGGTGGTGATAATGCTTCATGCACGTGTACGGGATGGCATATATGTCTGTTCGCTCACATGTGTAAGGCCATCACCGTGAGCCATGGGTTGGACATAATCGAAAGTGCCCGTGTTTTAGCTTGCAGTAGGTCATCGAATGGTGTTTCTGAACGGACACAAGACGATGTTGTGTGCTGGGTTTGTCGAGCATGGTCTCAGGACCTCACCACATGATAATATTTCTTTCAAGTGTATACCTTTAAAATCCTCATGAGCAATGACATGTACCAACCTGTCAACCCCCAAACTTCTAAACGCCCCTCCTTCCCACCATCCACTTCTCCCGATAGATCATTTATCCCCTCGAACCCCTCCACAAGATCAGAGACATCAATGGCCCAATATGGGTTGGCGGCGCGGAACATGTCAGGCCTAGTACGCGCAGGGGACGTAAATGCGGAGAGGGGGAGATGGAAAACTGTCGCCACCTCTGCCTGAGATATCGTGAGTGAGGAAAGCGAAATGGAGGGCAAGGGATCATCTAGGGATCCGGTATATGTTCTATGACTGCCACGTGGGTATACGAAGCCCTGCACATCAAATTCAAGTCGAAATAAAGCTAGTAGATGAGAAAAAATAACGTACGACGTAGGGCCATACTCTGAGGCCCATGAGACTTTGCTCAGGCGGGCCAAATTGGCCGAGAACATCGATCTGTCGATTATACAGACCTACTTCTTCTTGTGTTTCTCTGAGTGCGGCAGCTAGAAACGATGCATCTGCCTACAAGTATGATGAGGAAGCACAGAGAGGTTCTGGAATAAACTCACTGGGTCCACCCTTCCACCTGGGAAGCTAATGATCATGAGCTCCGAGACAGTGGACACTTCGAGGGTCGAACATACCTGACTTCACCAGCATGGGACCTCAGTTTACCACCTCGCAGTTCGAGCAGCACGCCGGGTACACCATCGACGTTACACAACGGAACAAGGACCGCTGCGTTGACTTCTCCTGGGATCACTGGAGTCTTGGACGTTGTTGCATGCGCAATAAATGCGCTTTGGAGTGTGCGTAAGGAGCCGAGGGTGAAAGGGGACGTTAGGGATATGATAGACGCGGAAGGTTGGATGTGGAGGGTTGAAGCATGTGCTGCGGATGTTATGAGCGTCCTGGACAACATGTCTCCATGATACTAGAAACAGACGGGCGCGGATACTCAGAGCTGCTGATATTCGTGCTAGTAACTTTGTGGTCTACTAGGTCGCTCGATGGGAAAATGGTTGAAAATGAGGTCAATGAGCAAGAGGTAGGAGAGACTAGGCCAAGTCCGGGCCGTCGCTATTATTAGCATAGCACACCCAGTGCGCTCAGCCAACTTCTTAGTGCCCTTCATATTTGCCATGGACGCTGTCGAAAAAGCCAACACAGCGAGACAAAAGCGATGGCAAGTGCCTTCCTGCAGATTTCATTCGATAAATCGTTGATTCATCCCGCTGCAGGGTAAAAGACCGGAAAGTCGGTGAAGGTACATACGCCGTCGTGTACCAAGGTGAAGTGGCTCATGCGCTAAGCGATGAGTCTTTCTCTGACTCCTGCAAGGCCGAGAGGCATCAACAAGCCGCAAAGTCGCCATCAAGAAGATAAAAGTCGGACAATTCAAAGATGGGCTCGACATGTCTGCTATTCGAGAGGTCAAATATCTACGAGAGCTTCACCACCAGAATGTTATCGAGGTCCCTCGTCGCCAATACATCCTCGTTCGTGAGCACTGACCATCTTTCCTTGCAGCTTCTGGACGTCTTCTCTTCAAAAACGAATCTTAACCTCGTGCTGGAGTTTTTGGATAGCGACCTTGAGATGATAATTCAGGACCGGTCGCTCGTCTTCCTTCCCGCCGATATCAAAGCATGGATGGCCATGACCTTGCGTGGGCTCGAATTTTGCCATAGAAATTTCATGCTTCACCGAGTATGCTACAAGCCCCCTCACAACCTCTTCACCAACTCATGGCATCTTGCAGGATCTGAAGCCCAACAATTTGCTCATTGCGTCGGATGGACAACTCAAGATAGCTGATTTCGGTCTAGCAAGAGATTTTGCAGACCCAGGACATAAAATGACGTGTCAAGTCATCACTCGGTGCGTGTTTTCAAGTCACCCTTTTGTTTTCGCTCCTCAACGTGCACAGATGGTACCGACCACCAGAGCTGCTGTTTGGCTGTCGGTATTATAGCTCAGCGGTCGACATATGGTCCGTAGGCTGCATATTCGCAGAGCTCATGTTGAGAACGCCGTATCTTCCCGGTGAGAGCGATATGGATCAACTCAAAACCATCTTCCGGGCACTCGGGACGCCCACAGAAGAGGACTGGCCGGTGTGTATTCGTATGACCGTCTATGTCATGTCTTTGTCTCATGTTCTACACAAGGGCCACACCAAACTGCCAGATTACGTGCCAGTTGGACAGTTCCCAAGAACTCCCCTTCGCGACCTCTTCACCGCCGCCTCTGGGGATACACTTAATCTTCTTAGCAGATTCCTCGTGTATGAGCCTCGAAGGCGCATAAGCGCAAGAGATGCTCTCAGCCACGCATACTTTTTCGCCTTGCCACACCCATCACATCCCTCCAAACTACCTAAACCTGCTTCTCAAACATCCCGCCCTCTCGAAGAACTTGATGGTAACGCTGACATGGTCGGCACCGGGCCAGGTGTCAAAGCCGCTGCACCTAATAAACTTAAACGAAAATTAACCTCCCCCGATGGCACCGACTTGAGACCACTCGCTCGCAAATTAGACTTTACTCAACATATGAAACACTCATGATCACTGTGTTAACAACCAATAAATCCTCCGTTCCGCACTTGCATTGGTTGTGTATATAGCGACTAGCCTTGCAATGTAGGAAATAAGGGAATACGTGTGAACTAATAAACTTGAACGTGGTAATGGATAAAATCAGACACCGGAGGAATGAGGTACAAGACAACGTTCGGGACAACAAGTTGATAGTTGCATGTGACAAGTACCGCGCTAATACGCAACTCTGATCCCAAACCATACCATGCTCTTGACGTAGAGCATATATGCGACTTGATTCTCCACACTGCTTTCTTCTAAATTCAGTCCATCGTGTCTCGGGCAGTGTCACAAACCGTACACTTGGTCGCGCTGGTAGGGACCTTCAACATGCAGAGGGAACAAGTCCACGTATCCATGGATGAGCCTGGAACCTTCAACCCTGCAGCAGACCAGTTGAACCCTGTAGGAGCCGGGGACGAAGCTGCACCAGGACGGGCCGCGTCACAGACAGTACATTCGAGCTTTGCACTATCTGGATTAGATAGCATGCAAGTATCGCACTGCCAAGTCTCAACGTGCTCTGTTAAAGGCATTTTGATAGCGGCTTTTGACCAGTCAAACATCTTCTGAGGTGCAGCTGCAGGCTGTGCGGCACTACCTGACCTCGGCGCATCGCAGATTGTACACTTATCCTCGGCGCTGGCAGGGTTCTCCAGCATGCATGTGCCGCACGACCAAGTACCAGAGGTAGTAGCAGCAGGTACCTTCATGCCCGCTGCAGTCCAGTTGAACCCGTTTGTGGATGGTGCTACTGGCTTGAACTCGAAGACAGGGAGGGAAAGCCGAGACATGCTGGTAGCTGTGATGCGAGCTTTGACGTGGCTGGGCCCAGCGGGATAGGCGGCCTCAGCAAGATTGAATTTATACTTCGGCAACTCATCGACTTCCATAGCTGCTACAGCCTCTTTGGGGGGCAGCTTCGCCTTGGAGGACGTAGTCTGGGTTTCCTTAGGAAGGAGACAGGATGTTATCAATTGTGCCGGGGGCGCCTCAGATATTGGTTTCTCCTCAGCTGACGTAGTCTCCTTGTCTGCGTAGTAACTGTACCGCAACTTGGATGGCTCCCTAGGAGCCGACGTCTTAGTTCCAAATGCAGTCTTCATCGGCAAAGCCGGGGATGGAGTATGTGAGAAGGGGAACGGCGTGGCGCTTGGCGTAATGAGTGATGAAGGGGCATCTTCGACAGGCTCGATAATCTCAACAGGCCGCGTAAAGACCGAAGATTTGTCCTGAACCATCTCAACATCCTCCACCTCTTCCACGGACAGTACGACGGGAGTAAGTTTCGCGGTCTTTTGCTTCTTTGTAGGGCTTTCGTCCTGGTCTGCAACTTCTTCGGTAATGACCATTGGCTTTGCGGTCTTGCTGTGACCATTGGTCTTCGGGACATATGTGTCCTGAGCTTCGCGAGTGGGTTTCTCTTGCCTCTCTATTTCTGGCGGAGGCCTTGCGCGCTTACTTCCCTATTATCAATATTAGTCTAGCCTCTTAAACCTGAATCATAGCTGCCCACTGACCTTCGGCACTGTGGCTTCAATAATCGCCTGCGCGGTGATTTCTGGCTCCTTTTGCGGTTTTTCTTTTTTCTCTGCTGGAGGGCGCGAGCGTCTCACGGGAGGCTTCCTAATGGGCATCTTTACAGGACTTGCAGTTTGGTACGGGTTCGCCACGTCAGGTTTCTTGACGGGGGTGACTTCCTTAATGAGCCCCGTCATATAGTTTGCAGCACGCGTGGGTCGTGCTGGAGGTTGTGGCGGTGAATCGTTCTGCTTCCATGTTTGTCGTAAAGGTGAAGGTACGGCTGGGGTCGTGGGCTTTACAGCAAGACCCGCAGTGCGTAAACGAGGCGTAGTGGTTCCGTTCGCCTTTGGCGTAACAACAGCCGCAGGAGCCAATGCCGACACAGGTACAGGTGGAACTAGAGTCTTGTCATTGATCACAGGTGTAGAACGGGTGGGAGAAGTAGAATTTGAAGTCGGGAAGACGATGTTAGACGTCGATGATGGGGGAGAAGACTTCTGTGCAGTCGAAGACTCAGCTTCATTGCCGACACGGCGACGTTTCGCATCGGTCGCAGAAGGTGTCCGTATGGGAGATAGCTCAATACGAGGGCCCTGAGGCCGAGACCCGAACCCAGGTGATCGATATCGGTTTCGTGGACGTGCACTACCCGCACCTTGCCAGCGCAATATGCCGTTGGGATTGCGCAATAGGGTCTTTTTCGGAACGTGTGTGTTGCTTGATACACCATTTGGTGTTCCAAACCCAAGGTTAGGAGAGGATCCACGCGACGGAGATGTCGAGAACCGGAATGGCTCAGGTTTGTCTGCTGTTTGACCATGAGTGCATGCTCACACGGCATGCTGGGAGCAACATATTCGTACCTTGCACGTTCTTCTGGATGTAGTCTACGATGCCAGCTGCCTCAAATTCGTTAAGAGGCCGCCCTGCTTTCTCGACAAGGAAACGAGTAACGGGCTCGAGGTTCTTAGCAAGTGAAGGGCTTTGCTGCAAGTAGGAAGGAATATTGGTTTGGTGAGGTGGTGTATTTAAATTGTAGAAAGGCTGTCGGGCAGGTGTGACGAATTGGGATGTATTGGAAGGTCCCGGTTGTTGGGCATCCCAAGCAGGTGGGTATACCAGTTCCTGTGAAGGCTACCCTTCGTGAATCAATGCTACCAGACCAAACAATACTTGACGGACTACAAACCTCGTGCCCTGGCGGTACATCACCAGGAGGAAGAGGGAGCACAAATTCAGGCGCAGAGTTCCGATCAAGTTGCACTTGACGAGTCGGAATATGAGGGGGTCCCTCCTGTTCCTGAATCTGCAAATCCTCGTCCTCGTCATTACTGGAGGACGAGGCACTTGAGCGCACCAGATCCTCAGCTCGATCATCCTCCTCAGCGCCACCGAATCGTAAGAAGCTCATTAAACCAGAAATGCTCCATAGCTTAGACATACCATGTCAGACAAAGTTGCAGATAGAAGACGATGACAAACAGTGTGCTCACCGATTTTTTCCTTGAAACTGGCTTGCTGTGTTTTGTTGGGCGAGCGTAAGGAGATGAATGGGCGGTTCTCTTCGCCCTGCGGTCATTCCGCCTGTCTACGTTCATTCTCGTTCAATGAGTCTAGAAACGTGGGAGCGAGTTAAGAAATTACAGGCCGCTTTGTGTTCGTTGCAGAACGGGCGACAAGCGACTAGAAACAGAGAACAGAAGATGTCGAGGACAAGTTATAATCATCAAACTGACTTGGTGAGCCAGACCTGGCACTTCCCGGTTTAGGGCCGGTCATTGTTCGCGACGAACCGTGACCTTGTCTTCCTGCACACAACGACGACAGCAGTTCATTCTTTTCATCAACATTGGTCGCCATGCCGAACAAGGTCGTCACGACACCATACCCGCTCATCGACGCTGACCCACACGCTTCCCGCGTTGTGCGTTATTTCCGTTCGTCAGACTATGCAACATGGGCTGCAGGAACAGCCGCATTCCCGGCTGCTTTGTATTTCTGGGGTATGCATCCTTGTTTCAGTCGGACTGCTTTGTCTTAGGCTTATACGAATCATTCTTGTCCTCAGATATGGCTGACCCTACAAAAGTTCGTCTGCGGACTAGCCTTCGGCTTGGAGGCTTGCTTGGCTTCGTCGGCGGTTTCTTGCTGGCATACCAACGCTCAAGTTGTGAGTTGCTCTGGTTGTGCAAGTCGTGAGCAACCTTATCGTTTTTGTTGTTAGTTCGTTTCTGGGGCTGGTCAGAGAACAAGCGAGAGGAGGACTTGGATCTGGCCGAGCTCTCTCAGAGAGCAGCTGAGGGTAAGCCCTTGTATGGTACATCCAGCCAGCCCGAGTGGGTGCAGGGCACTGCATACCGTAACTCTGCATGGTCTCAGTTGAAGTTCCGTGAGTTTCGCTGGAGTATGTTAATCAGCGTTTTTCCTGCTAAATCTATTAAATTTTGCAGACGCATTCCCCATGTACGAACATATGTCATTATCGTCCTCAGTTCCAGACTTACTGCAATTGTTATAGGTTCAACTTTGTCAACCATCAACATCACGGCACCGAGGCTGCAAAATATGGAGTGAAGGAAAAGGAGCTATCAGATTAGATATTGATATACCTTCCTGCTGATTGCACTGTCGTTGGGTTGACGCCATGCACTTGCGAGGAGGTTTGATTTTCCCGCAAGTCTGCGGAATGAATAAACATACCTGCTTTGACTGTCAGTATAATGATCGCATCGTAATCAAAGAAGTTCCGGTCTCATCGATGCCTCATCGACATTTCTGACCATTCCCTTGTATCTACTAGTATTGCAGCTAGTGTTGCCACAGCTCCGGCTTATTGCCGGTTTTAGCCGTCGATAGCTGAGCTGACCACACAATTATAGCTTACGTAATTTACGGCCCGGCCCGGTTGAAGTAGCCGCAGTTGCGGCTCAAATCCAGCTGAAAGCCAACTATCTATGTGTAGCTTTTGCTCTCTGGTCTAGCGAGTAAAATCACGTATATTGGTAAGCAATAATCTC